CCCAGCTAATAGTCCAGGCCCACTATGGATCCATTGTGAGCCCAACTAATATCCAAAGGCCCATTCCTTAAGGCCCACTAATGGAGAAAGGCGACTCAGCAATCTCCTTTGTTTTTCCCCGTCTTCAATATCTCACCTCAGTTGCAGGGAAGCTCTGAACAGAGAGAGAAGCCATGAATATTTTCGGTTCGAGCAGATCTCCGATCAATGGATGGAACTCGAAAAAATCCAAATTTCTGCACCGACGTTTTTCATTGCCTGTTTTCGCTCTACTCTCCGGTTCCTTCTTTCTCCTCTACCTGTTCTCCTCCTACTCTTCCTTCATGCCCTCGACTGCATTCTCAACTTCAAATTCGCGCAAATGCAGTTCCCGGATCTTAGATTTGGGGGAGAGATTTCTGTTTTACGCGCCTCATAGCGGATTTAGCAACCAGCTTTCTGAGTTCAAGAATGCAATTCTCATGGCCTGGATTCTCAACCGGACTCTTGTTGTTCCTCCGATTCTGGATCACCATGCCGTAGCTCTCGGGAGTTGTCCGAAATTCAGAGTTACGGATCCTGGTGAGATTCGATTTTCGGTTTGGGAGCATATGCTTGAACTTCTTCGGAATGGAAGGTAATCATTTTCCCCTTGGTTTGTAGTTTTTTTTTCTTTTTTCTTTTTTTTTTCAGATGTCTTGATTTTTCTCTGGATTTATGAGTGTTCCGTTTGTTGGGTGGCTAGATTGATATAGAAGTTTGTTCTAAATCAAATACTTGTACCGTTTTGATGAACTGGTAGCAATCCTAGCTATATAGCTTTAGTTTACTTTTCCATTCTTTTCTTTTGAGACTCTGATTTCACAAGAAGATGAAAGAAAATAAGGCTAAATTACATATATATATATATATATATATATATAAAACCTTAACTTTTTTATTTGTTATAAAAATGACCTGTTCTTTCAAAAGTTGCAATAACATTTCATAAACGTTGAAACTACCTTGGTAGAAATTTGCTAGAATGTTAAATGAAAATTGAGACTCAGTAGGAGTTTGAGGATTTCTTGGATCCCAAATTGGGACCACAACACAACACCGTTCCAAATCCCAATTTTTATGCAACGTTCAAACAAGTTTCTACTCCAAGAACAGGTTTGAAACTTCTATGAATGGTCAAGAGTAATATTGCAATTTTTGAAGGATCAGGAACATTATTGAAACAAAAAGGCAAAGTTCGAGAGTTCTTTTTTTTTTTTTTTTTTTTTTTTTTTTTTCTTTTTCTTTTTCATAATTTAGCAAAACGTCGTGGTAATATTTTATGACATAATCTATGTATTTCGATTCTGTGGCAGGTATGTTTCAATGGCGGATATTGTAGATATTTCATCGTTAGCTTCTTACTCTTCTATTAAGGCCATAGATTTTAGGACCTTTGCATACTTATGGTGTGGAGTGGATCTGGAAAGTGTTTGTTCCAATGAATATAACCTAAAGCAATGTGGTCGTCTACTAGCAGGGCTTGATGGAAATGTAGACAAATGTTTACATGCTGTAGATGAAGATTGCAGAACTACAGTTTGGACTTACAAAAATGGTGAAGTTGATGGAGCATTAGACGTTTTTCAGCCTAACGAACAGCTTAAGAAGAAAAAAAATGTGTCGTATGTCAGACGCCGTCGAGATGTATATAGAGCCCTTGGACCTGATTCCAAAGCCGAACTCGCTGCTGTTTTGTCGTTTGGAAGTCTTTTTACTGCCCCATACAAAGGTTCAGAACTGTATATTGATATCCATGAAGTTAGTGGAGATCAAAGAATAAGTTCTTTGATAAAAAGCATTGAGTATCTACCATTTGTCCCAGAAATCTTGAGCGCAGGGAAAGAGTATATCGACAAGATCATAAAAGCTCCATTCCTTTGTGCTCAACTGAGATTGTTAGATGGGCAGTTCAAAAATCACTGGAACGCTACTTTTTTGGCCCTCGAACAGAAACTAGACTTGATATTGCAGGATGGTAACGAACCCGTTCATGTCTTCGTGATGACCGATCTTCCTGAATCGAATTGGACTGGAAGCTACTTAAGGCATCTTGCTAGGGATTCAAATCACTTCAAACTCTTTTTACTCAAAGAACACGATGAATTGGTTCAACGAGCATCGAAAAAAGTGATGGTTGTAGGACATGGCTTGAGATCGACATCCAGTGCATTTGGTCCTAGCAGAATTCATGATATGAAGAACAAATGTACTTCTGAGAGATTACCCGATATTCTCTTATACATAGAGGAAACTGTTTGCAGTTGTGCTTCACTTGGTTTTCTTGGCACTGCTGGCTCCACAATTGCAGAAAGCATTGAGCTGATGAGAAAATATGGATTATGTTCAGATCAAAATTCAACCCCATCTTGACATTTGACTTCAAACTTTAAATTCTTTAGGACGTCCACTGAAGTTGTTCTGTGTCGACTTAATATCTCTGGATCATTCGACGTAGTCGATGCTGATGTACTTGGATTGAACGTATGCAAACCATTTGATTCTGCTTGGCTTGTCATGCATTGAAGACTACTCGAAATCAGGCTTCAAATTTACCAGCATCTGGGTATGGTGGATTGTACCAACATTGATCATCACATCAGTTTTCAAGGTTGCATTTGGATGTAAGTATGCATACACTATCATATTCACCATGTGGAGGAAATCATATTGTACTGTCTGTATTGTACAAACTGGATAGTTTAGGAGAGTCATATAGTTCCTTAAGGAAACACCCCTGTTGTTTTCTTAGAAAGATTGGATCTCTGTACGGCCTTTTGTCAGGCTTTCGTCCTTTTGCCTCCTTCCTGACTTTTCAAAGAGGCCCTTTACGACTATAAAGAAGAGAGGTCGTTCCTGTGTCAATTTAGCTACTTAATATTTAATACTAAAGTCAAGATGAACGTTATTCTGAGCTTGTGTAAGGAGGCAAGCAAATGAAGGGAGGCATTATGAGCTCAATTATAGTAGACTCAACAAATCGCTTATAAAATGCCGACTACTAAGTTCAGATCACGGTGGAATTCATGGTGGACGTTCTTCTCCTCAGCCCTCCATTGTGTATTTAGAACTGTTTTGTTTCTATTTAAAGTTGTTTTCACTTGGGGCTTAACTCCAGAAATGTTGGGCTTCAACTTCATATGAACTAACTTACAGTCCCTTTTTCCTTCTTCCAGATATTAGTCATCTTCCTTGATTGAGATGCATGGAGCTGGCAGCTAAGGATATAGACAAGGAAAAATGGTCAGTTTGATCTGAACCGAGCGGGTTCGGTTTGTTCGTGTCCCTTGGCAGCTTGAGCCTAGCATAATGTCATTTTCTCCTTCCCTATTGTCTGCACAAGCTTTGAGCTCAGATCTGGTAAGGATATACAAAATTAATGTTTATTTTGTGGACCTAAACTTTTGAAAACTTTGGTAATTAATATCTAAGTATATAAATACCTCAGAATTATAGGATTTATTTTAAAATAAATACATTAATTTTTTAAAATGCTAATGTGTAATTTATATGAACAAATCTAAACACAAATAAATATCGATTTTGGGAAAGCAAGTTAAAAGAAAAAAAAAGAAAAAAAATATATATATATATATATATAAAATTTTGGTCCATAGTATATGTATTTTCAATTATTCAAATTTTGTTTATTTTTATGTGAAATCTCTATTATAGCCTTTATTTATTTAATTTTTTTTACTTCAAATAAATTTTAAGTTTAGTCAAAATTGGTTAAATAATAATAATTTTCATGTTGAAAAGTACACCGTATAAATATTTTAAATATGTATTTTCAACTATTCAATTTTTTTTTTGTGAAATCTCTATTATAGCCTTTATTTTATTTTATTTTTATTTATTTATTACTTTAAATAAATTTTAAATTTAGTCAAAATTGGTTAAATAATAAACGGTACACCGTATAAATATATTTTAAAATTTATAAATGGAATTCAAATGCAAGCGAATTTTTATTTAAAAGAAAGTCACACAAGCAAATAATACCAAAAGAATCTTACTATTTCAAGTTATATTATTCGAAAACTATTTAACATTTAATTTAAAATGTTTAAAAGTTTCAAACCTTTCTGTTACCAAAAAAAAAAAAAAAAAAAAAAAAAAAAAAAAAACAAATAAAAAACAAATATCATTTTAATTTCTATCTTAAAATAAATCTCTATTGATAATTTATGTTTAATTTCCAAATACACATTTACAACTTTTTTTTTCCTTGCATGATAATAATAATTATTATTTAACTAATTTTGATAACAAACAAAACTTCAAATTATTATTAAAAAAAATACAAAATTAAAATAATATTTGGATATTTAAAAGGATAAAGACCCAAATAATATTTTAAAATAAAATTTAAATGGTCTAAAAATCATTCATTTTTAAACCTTGAGAATAAGCATGTAACGCTGGGATTTCCCTTTCATGGTTCCCTCAAAGTTTTAAAACGTGTCTATTAGAAGTAGAAAAATCCTCTTTGGGATTTCCCTTTCAGGGTTTCCCTCAAGGTTTTAAAACGTGTCTATTAGGGGTAGGGGAAACTTTCCACACCCTTATAAATGGTGCTTTCGGGCTTCTCCTCGAGACTTTAACTAATATGGGACATCACAAAACAATTGAAAAAAATTAATGATATATTAAAAAGAAGAAAAAATTGTACAAAGAAGACCAAAATTTGAATAAATTTTACGGCTATATAAAATCCATGAAAAGTCAAACTTTTGAACATTCAATTTGGATTAAAATAATCTCAATTTGACTGTTGTAAAAATTGAACTGTATTGTATGAAAAGTTATGAATAATCACAATCAATCTTAATTATTGACCGACTTAAAAGGTATAAATAATCATAATCAAATTCGAATTATTGACTTATGGAATTGGAACAGACTTACGGTTCCAATCCAATGAACATAGAACGAAAATTTAATTTGGAAAAACAAAAATCTCATACCCACTTTAGAAATCTGTGGATGAGAAATAAATAACTCCAGGATACTTGCCAAAAAAAAGTGAGGAGTCTATGGACAAGGGCTATGGTCATATGAACACGAGCTTAAATGCGAAAAGTAATCGAAATTATCGAAGAAGTGAACTTGGACAAGGAAATGCTGCCTTAAATACCCACGAGCTCCATTGCATTTCGGCGTGATTTGCCACTCGTTTACGTTATCTGAAAGCATTTTGCGAAGGTTTTTCCATTTGGGGTTTTTGATTTTGGTGATTGAAGTTCTTTTTTGAATTCTTTTTGAGGAACAAATGGAGGGCGTTGATCATCTTGCGCATGAGAGGAACAGCGCGCAATTTGATGTCGATGAGATGAAGATCGTTTGGGCGGGTTCTCGTCATGCATATGAAGTGTCTGATAGAATGTCTCGCCTGGTTGCTAATGATCCAGTGAGTAGTTTGTGTTCCATAGTTCATATTTTTCTGATATTGTATGAATTTTTGTTATTCTTTTGATGGATTCTTTGGGTTTAAGGCGTTTCGAAAGGACAGTAGGGCTCAATTGACAAGGAAGGAGCTGTTTAAGAACACTCTTAGAAAAGCAACTTATGCATGGAAGAGGATTCTTGAGCTTAAACTTTCTGGTATGCCTGCTTGATTCGAGCTCTCTTCTGTGGATTGTGCTGTGTTCCTTATGTTGTTTAACCTGCATTTACCTTGTGTTGTTGTTTCTTGGCAGAGGAGGAAGCTGGTAGATTAAGGTTCTTTGTGGATGAGCCAGCATTTACAGATCTTCATTGGGTGAGTTTAGTTTATTCTCTTTGTTGGCATGTCGTTAATATTGTCCTATTTCAAGGTTTTTAAAACGAGCTAGGGAGAGGTTTCCACACCCTTATAAAGAATGTTTTGTTCCCCTCTCCAACCGATGTGGGATCTCACGACCCACCTCCCTTCAGGGCCCAACGTCCTCACTGGCACTCGTTCCCTTCTCCAATCGACGTGAGATCTCACAATCCACCCACCTTCGGGGCCAGCTTCCTCGCTGACATTCGTTCTTTCTCCAATTGATATGGGATCTCACAATCCATCCCCTTTCAGGATCCAACGTCCTTGCTAGCACATCGCCCCGTGTCTATCTCCTTTGGGCTTAGCGTCCTCATTGGCACACCGTTCGGTGTCTAGCTCTGATACAATTTGTAACAGCCCTAGTCCGCGCTAGCATATATTGTCCTATTTGGGTTTCCCCTTTCGGGCTTCCCCTCTAGGTTTTTAAAACACATCTGCTAGGGTGTTTCGTTCCCCTCTCCAACCGATGTGAGATCTCACAACCCACCCCCTTCGGGACCCAACATCCTCGCTGACACTTGTTTCATTCTAAGCTTTTGGAATTACGTTTAATGTTTAATGTTCTCTCTTTCACTCTAATTTAGGGAATGTTCGTTCCATTTCTAAAAGGGCAAGGAACTGAGGAGCAGCTACAAAAGTGGTTGCCATTGGCAAATAAGTTGCAAATAATTGGCTGCTATGCTCAAACTGAACTCGGTCATGGTTCAAATGTTCAAGGGCTTGAAACAACTGCAACATTTGATCCAAAGACAGATGAATTTGTTATACATAGTCCTACGCTTACATCGAGCAAAGTAAGTTCAGTGATAATTATATATTCAGGCAGGGGAAGTTTGGATGTGAATTGCTGCACTATATGTCTTATTTTTGGTTCTTCTTGCTTGTGAACAGTGGTGGCCTGGTGGTTTGGGTAAGGTTTCAACACATGCAGTTGTATTTGCTCGTCTTATCACCGACGGTCGGGACTATGGAGTGCATGGTATGCAAACTATGATTGGTTTCGATCCTCTAGTTCTTGATCATGATTTATTAAGTGTAATTGGAAAGCTTCCATTTGGTAGGTTTCATGGTCCAGATAAGGAGTTTGGATGATCACTCAGTTCTACCAGGCATAACCATTGGAGATATTGGTATGAAATTTGGAAATGGAGCTTACAATACTATGGATAACGGGGTCATGCACTTTGATCATTTCCGCATACCGAGAGACCAACTTTTGACGAGGTTATTCCTTTCTTTCTTTTCGGGTTTTATTTGTTGTTTCTATTCATTTTCTTTGTTTGTCCATTTGTGAGATCCTATATCGGTTGGAGAGGAGAACGGAACATTCTTGATAAGGGTGTGGAAACCTCTCCCTAGTAGACGCATTGCTATGTAACGGGGCAAAACGGACAATATCTACTAACGGTGAGGTTGAGCTATTATAAATGGTATCAGAGCCAGACACTGGGCAGTGTGCCAGCAAGGACGTTGGGTCCCCAAGAGGGGTGGATTGTGAGATCCCACATCGGTTGGAGAGGGGGACAAAGCATTCCTTAAAAAGTTGTGGAAACCTCTCTCTAGTAGACGCGTTTTAGAATCGAAAGGCTGACAGCGATATGTAGCGGGCCAAAACGGACAATGAACTTGGACTATTATAAATGGTATTAGAGTCAGACACTGGACGGTGTGCCAGCGAGGACGTTGGGCCCCCAAGGGGGGTGGATTGTGAGATCCCACGTCGGTTGGAAAGGGAATGCAACATTCCTTATATGGGTGTAGAAACCTCTCCCTCGTAGACGCATTTTAAAACCGTGAGGTTGATGGCAATATGTAATGCCAAAGCGGACAATATCTGCTAGCGGTGGGCTTGGGCTGTTATACCATTACTATTTCCCTAGTTAGATACCTATCAACTTCAACATCCATTAGGTTTGTCATTGTCATATGAGTTAATCATGCCTATCAATTGGAAATGGGGATGGAGAGCATTTTCCTTGTTCTGCTCTCATTGTTTGATCTTTGTTTCTGAGGTTGAGCCTTAGAGAAATTCATTTCTATTTTTCCATCTTACAAATAAAGAACAAAACCAAGAAAATACGCTCGTATGTATCGTACATTCAGTTCAACAACCCTTCTAACGTTAGTTATAAACGTTGCAGGATTTCTCAAGTTACAAGAGAAGGGAAATGCGTGCAATCAGATGCTCCGCGACAACTAGTTTACGGCACTATGGTATTCGTTAGAAAAGCAATTGTAATTGATGCTTCAAATGCCTTATCACGTGCAGTCTGCATCGCTACTAGGTACAGCGCTGTTCGTAGACAATTCGGATCACAGGATGGCGTGGAAACCCAGGTATGAACATTTAATGCTAGATCAAGCTGTTCGTACCTGCTATAGTAACAGCAGACCACATTTTTAACCATGATTCTGATGCACAGATCTTATCATTTTACTCGGTTTCATGATTGATTCTGATGGAATTGTTGCCAGTTTCTCGCATTTAACTGACACGTTGCATTTATTTTCCCGATACGAGTTTATGACTACAAGTCTAACTTAGATTCAAATTGATAAGTATAGGAACATTGTCCCAAGTACATTCTGCCCTTTTAGATTGTCGACAAATAATGTCGTTCTCGTTTGTTCGTTTGTTCGTTTGTTTAGGTGATCAATTATAAAACGCAACAGAGTAGGCTATTCCCTTTGCTGGCTTCTGCCTATGCTTTCAGATTTGTTGGTGAATGGTTACAATGGCTATATACGGATGTGACTCAGAGACTGGCAGCTAGCGATTTCTCAACGCTACCTGAGGCTCATGCATGCACTGCCGGGTTGAAGTCGATCACAACGGCTGCAACCGCTGTGAGTAATTTTTTGGATTACTTTAGCTTGGCCATCTATTTGTGCATTGTTCTTTTATGTTGAACTTTTTAATCAATCTCTTTCTCCTGGTTTAACTTGTTATGCTAATATTATGTTAACAATTTGAGACACTCTTACATCTATTTCACTTCTCTTACCCAAGCCCCCTTGGGATGATCACTAGCCCAATAGAGTCAAGCCCAATTATTGTACAAGCCCAATATATTTATTTTAGTAGAGATTTTAGGAGAAAAAGATCTAGATATTTTAGGAAAAAGATTTAGATTTGTTAGGTCTAGATTTAGATTTGTTAGGTATAGATTGCCTAGGCTCTAGTATAAATACCCCTCCACCCTACCTAGGTTATTCATCCAGGAAATCCAAAGCAGAAGTATTCTACAAAGTGTCTTGTATTCTCTTCTCGATTGGTCTTAATAAAGAGTGTGAGTGTTTCCCACAGTGAGTTGTGTTCAACATTACTCCCAATGGTTTTGGGCTCGATCTTGTGGATATAAAACTTAATAACTTAAAACCCTTTCCGGATAATGGAGCTCGAGCTGGCCTTGGGCTGGCAAAGCCTACCAAGGACTAACCAGTGGCCCATGGCCTATGACCATAATGCAGGAGTGTCCCACTCTATGAGATCTCACATCGGTTGGAGAGGAGAATGAAACATTTCTTATAAGGGTGTGGAAACTTCTCTCTAGCGTTTTAAAACTTTGAAGGGAAGTCCAGAAGGGAAAGCACAAAAACAATATTTGCTTGCGGTGGGCTTGAGCTGTTACAAATGGTATTAGAGCCAGACACCGGGCAGTGTGTCAGCGAGGACGCTAGGCCTCGAAGGGGTTGGTTTTTTAGTGAAATCCCCCATCGGTTGGAGAGGAGAACGAAACATTTCTTATAAGGGTGTGGAAACCTCTCTCTAGTAGACGCGTTTTAAAACTTTGAGGGGAAGCCTAGAAGGAAAAGTCCAAAAAGGATAATATCGGCTAGCGGTGGGCTTGGACTTAGGCTGTTACACACTTCCAATCCTGTACTTTTCTCTGTTAGTCTACTAGCAGCTTTATTGGTTCTTAATTCTTTATTTACATCTGTATAATCAAGCCGACCTTTATGATTCTTGCGGTGTTATCTTACATTGTAATTTCAGGATGGGATCGAGGAGTGTCGGAAGTTATGCGGTGGCCATGGTTACCTGTGTAGCAGCGGGCTTCCCGAGTTGTTTGCAGTTTATGTCCCTGCCTGTACTTATGAAGGAGACAATGTTGTGCTACTCTTACAGGTCTGGTTTAAGATTTCAAGCAATGAAGTATGATAACGACTTGTATTAAACTCCTCGACATGGGCAACATGCTCGAGGCTCACTTCATGCTACTTGCATTCGAGTCTAGATTCTCGACTCTTCCTCACCTGACTATTGTCGAGCTGTTTTGATATAGGTTGCACGATTTCTCGTAAAGACTGTGTCCCAGGTGGCGTCTGGTAAGAAGCCCGTCGGTACAACAGCTTACATGGGACGATTACAACATCTTATGGAATCCTCTTGCAAAGTTCAGAAAGGTAATTTTTTATGTTTTGGGGTTCTCAATCCCTTAATGGAGGCCTGAGAGGGTGGTGTGGAGCTGAATTTTTCAAGACTTTTGTTTATATTGATGTTCTTGTCAATTCTGATCATCTACAGCTGAGGACTGGTTAAACCCGAGCGTCGTTCTTGAGGTTTTCGAAGCACGGTCGGCTAGGATGTCCGTTGAATGTGCCAAAAGACTTAGCGAGTTTACCAATCAAGAAGAAGGTTGGTCTACTTCTACCTAGATGAAAACGGATTTGTTCGAAATATCGGAATAACTATGTCGAAATTTTCTGCTATTCGACCAGTTTGCACTTGCGTCTTTGAACTATCAGTATCGATGCATGACAATGCCAATTTGTTCTAATCCGATCGAGATTTTCGTGATTAACTGCAGGTTTTCAGGAACTTTCTCCTAGTTTAGTTGAGGCTGCAGCTGCGTATTGCCAACTAATTATTGTTTCCAAGCAAGTTCCTGCCTTGTTAGATTAATCAAATCCTTGAAAGCTTTGATTCTTTAGACTGATTTTTTAAATGCAAAACTTTGTTGAGCAAAATTGTTACGGTCAACCCCATCGCTAGCAGATATTGTCTTTTTTCGGCTTTCTCTTTCGAGCTTCCTCTCAAGGTTTTTAAAACGCATCTGTTAGGGAAAGGTTTCAACACCCTTATAAAGAATGCTTCGTTCTCCTCTCCAACCGATGTGGGATCTCACAATCCACCCCCTTTCGAGGCCTAGCGTCCTCGTTGGCACTCGTTACCTTCTCCAATCGATGTGGGATCCCCCAATCCACCCCCCTTCGGGGCTTAGCGTCCTTGCTAGCACACCACCTCGTGTCCATCCCCCTTCAGATCTCAACCTCCTCACTGGCACATCGCTTGGTGTCTAACTCTGATACCATTTGTAATAGCTCAAGCCCACCGGTAGCAGATATTGCCCTCTTTGGGGGTGTGAAAATCTCTCTCTAGTAGACGTGTTTTAAAAACCTTGAGGTAAAGGCCAAAGAATATAATATTTGTTAGCAGTGGGCTTGGGCTCACACACCCTTCTTCCCGGAACATTACAAAGACGTTTTTTTTGCACCAATCACCGAGCATTCCTTCTCGTGCAGTGATATCTGATTGCCATGAAATCTGATTCAAAGAAGAACCCGGTTTTCGTGTATTCAACCTCGTCTTTCCTCAATCCCTTTACTAATCATTTCGAAAACATTTCCATTTCAGATACATTGAGAAACTTCAGGGAGACATACCTGGAAAGGGAATAAAAGAGCAACTGCAGATTCTTTGCAGTGTTTATGCTTTGTATACACTTCACAAACACAAGGGTGATTTTCTTTCCACTTCCACCATCACTCCCAAACAGGCTTCACTTGCTGATGATCAACTCAGATCTCTATATTCCCAGGTTTGAACTCCAACAAACCTTCTAATTGTTGAAGGGAAGCTGGCTGGCTTCTAACCCGACATCGGAATTACCTTTTTTGTAGGTTCGGCCAAATGCAATTGCTCTAGTCGATGCGTTTAACTACACCGACCATTACCTCGGTTCTATTCTCGGCCGTTACGATGGGAATGTTTACCCAAACCTGTACGATGAGGCGTGGAAGGATCCTTTGAACGACTCCGCTATACCTGATGGCTACCATGAATATATCAAGCCATTGCTTAAGCAGCAGCTCAGAAATGCAAGGCTATGAAGAACATGACAGTGTAACAAAATGTTGTGTTCTTGATAATTTGTAATAAATCCATGGATTCGGCTTGTAATTCCATGGTCTTGTATGAATTCACATTAATTTAGATCCAATTACTGCTATTAAATTGAAGTTCTGGTACTAAAGATAAATTAAAAGTTTAAGTTTTTTGTTCCCTTATTATTATTTTTATTAGTGCTGTCTGCTATTTATTTCAATATAGGGAATAAAAATCTATTTTGACTTGTCAAGTTATATCTAAATTTCGTTGAGTGTCGCAATGTTAACCCTAAATTAAAAAAACGTTCGTAATTTAAACTTCTGATAATTCAATGAATTATAATATATATATATATATATATAAAACATGAAATTTATCAACTTAAATTTTATGGTTATAAATTTATGAATTGGTCAAATTTTTCTATTTTATTGAAATTAATGGATTTATAAATTTATGAATCGGTCAAATTTGTTTTATTTTATTGAAATTAATGGATTTTTGTCAAATTACTTTGAGTGTCACAATGTTAATCCTAAATTTAAAAAAGCCTTTCTTAATTTAAACTTCTAATAATTCAATGAATTAATATATATATATATATAAAACATGAAATTTATCAGAGTTAAATTTTATGGTTTATAAATTTATGAATAGGTCAAATTTGTTCTATTTTATTGAAATTAATGGATTTTTGTCAAATTTCGTTGAGTGTCGCAGTGTTAACCCTACATTTAAAAAAGCATTCGTAATTAATTTAAACGTCTGATAATTCAATGGATTATATATATATATATAAATGAAATTTATCAAATTTTAGAGTTAAATTTTATGGTTATAAATTTATGAATGGGTCAAATTTGTTCTATTTTATTAAAATTAATGGATTTTTGTTAAAATTAGTGGTGAATGAGTGAGTTTTTATTCGAGTTTACTAGAAAATAGACCTTTATGAATATAACCAAAAAAAAAAAAAACTCACTACATGTCATTTCTATCTAGCTCGATATAACCTATCTAGAACTATATAAGCAATTTATCTGAAGTTGTTAATTCGAACATAGTTCAATAGATAAAAATACCTATTATTATCTTATAGATCGATAGTTCGATCTCTCACTCCTGCAATGTTTGAACAAGTTTTAGCTTTAGAAGTTAGTTCGAAATGGTTGCTCAAAGCCATATTCTATATTTATGTTGATTATAATTTATTTACTTCACAAATACATCCAGTTTACAATAATTGGTCTTTCAAATTTACTCTAATACTCACTTACAGTATCTATTTCGCATTAGTGTATACACTGTGCTGCAGTATTTACATATCCAGCAGCAAAGCCCTCTTATCCTTGCATTCCCTGCAGTGGAGATGGAATCTACAGCTTTAATATAGCACAAAAACAGAGAACAAAGGGACAAGAACACCATAATCTTATCAAGTTTGGGAAACTGCAAAAGATTGGCGTACTAAAAGTTCAGAATAGAAGACAATCGTTAGAGAATACGAGTTTCAAAAATTATAAGTTGAAATTTGTGTCTATTTAGTCCTTCAAAAATGTCTAATAGTTACTTAAACTTTTGATTTTGATTTTGTACTTAATACGTCCCTAAACTTTTAATATTATATCAAATAGATTTCTAATAAATTCAAAATTTGTTGATGGACTATTTTGGTATCTTGGTTGCCCTTTAGCTAACACATTCTACAAAATAGATGCATCTCAACCGACTCTACTCGGAGTTTGTAGGAGAGCTCTATCTTGTCAGTGGAAGAGATGACGAGGAAGTGTGAAGACTTGACGATCGGGCCGGGATTTCTTTACCTCGGGATAACCACTTTGATAGCTTATGGATTTGGTCTCATAAAACCTATTGAGGCTCACATGTTAGGAAAAGGAAAGGAAATCCTCGGGGCTGGTAAAAGCGAAGTTGAGGACTAAATAATCTATTAGATATAAACATAAAATTTTGCATCTAGATAAGTATATTTTTTAAGAGATTAAATTTATAATTTTAAAACTTTCAAATAAAATAAACATAAAATTTATCTTTCAAGACTAAATTTATAATTTAACTTAAGTTCGGTCTCCTTTCATTCTTCCTTAACTTTTGTCTTAATATACTTCCACTCGCTAATCTTTCTTAGGCACATTCTCTCACTAATTTTTTTCTACCCACCTGCTTTCTCTCCATAATCTAAACTCTATGCACATTTTCTCTTATTTGTTTCACTACACAAATGCTCCCTCTAACCAAAATCCATCTTCTCTTTTTAAAATTTGTTTTTAGTTGCTTTCTCAATTCAAGAAATACTGGATTGGGAAAACCAAAGAAGAGGGTGGTTAACAGCACATGATGAAAGCATTAAAGTACTCCCAAGCACATCTAAGAATCCATTCAACATGCAATAAATATAAACAGAAATTCACAAAACAAACGAGTTATCCATGCCGTACCTGAATGCTGCTTGATGATTCCCAAGTGCCATTCTTGTTCTTAGGTGATTGTGTCTATTATCAAGATGACGTAAACCTCTCAGCTCTGTTAAGACTTCGATTCTGCTCGGTTCTTCATTTAAATCAGGTAAAAGAGATATTATGTCCCTGGGATTTGAAACCGATTTAGTCTACTAAACCAAATTGAGTGCAGAACCATGTGGAACAAATCATATTTAAGGGGTTTTGGGTTCCAAAGAAAGTGTTTCTGAACCATTTTCACATTTATCTGCATAGCAAGATATCTCCTCAGTGGGATAGCCGTTAGAATCTCCTTCAGCTTGGGAATATCCTTTTCAGCAACAACCACAGCGAATGCACTCCAATCGAGAAACTCACTAAAGGGAAGCACAAAATTATCAGCAATGATTACTGGGACACATTCATAATAAATGGATTCAATTATCCTTGGGCTGTTCACTTCATATCCCATTGGGCAGATGCAGTATTTGCTTGACTTCATATGTTGAATGTATGACATCTTACGGGAAATTCTCTGTGGCAAAGGTCCATAGACTCTGATATCATCATCTTTGTCCTTCCAATGCCTCAGAAGTGTTGGACGGACTCTCCCATGCATGTTCCCAGCAAAGAAAGCAAGAATTGGACGCTGTGATACCCTTTTCCCACCAACATTCCTAAGAGGTTTCCGAGGTGTCCTTATTGTAGTTTCTGGCAATGAAACATCCTTCCCAAGTTTAAAGACCCCTTCTGATACATCAGCATTACATAAAGCTTTTATGGTGTTTTGGCTAAGTTCTCTATGTTCATTAACAGTGTACGGGCCCTGCAGAAAGTTTGTGGCACGTCAAAAGAAAGAAAATGGATAGCCATAAGAGTAGTGGCTTCAGTAATCTCTGGCATTCATTAAGAAATCTGAGATGGAGAAATAAGCTTCTCACCCAGTCATGGCAAGCGACAAGGAAATGATCAGAGCCATGCGTACGGTTCCAAAATGGATACTTTCCAGCAAGCCAATTCACATGGTTCCTCAGGTATATTGACAATGGTTTCATGTTATGAGAATTAGGCACATAAAGAGCCGTCTGCAGCTGGCGTGCACTATATGCAAGATAAAATAAGTGGGCCTTTTCTGGGTCCTTGGTGACGAACTGCCTGTTTTCCTCCATCAACTTCATAAACCACCCTTCAGAAGCATAAATTCCTCTCAGATGGGGAGTATGAAAGATAGGTCTGGATCCATCTCGGTAAATGTAGACTTTGAGTATCAATTCCATCAGTTCATAACTCCTGACAATTTGGGAAAGTACAATGGAATCAGTTGACTACAAATACCGAAAAGGAATGACATGTAAGAAACTATACAAAGGATTATTTGAAACATTCTTCTCATTCTGCGTATCATACGTGTTAGGAATTACGACTCTCTACAATAGTATGATATTGTCCACTTTGAGCATAAGCTCTTATGGTTTTGCTTTGGGATTCCCCAAAAGGCCTCATACCATGGAGATGTATTTCTTACTTATAAATCCATGATCATTCTCTAAATTAGCCTACGTGGGATTCCCTCCCAATAATCCTCAATAATACCTGCTTCCTAAAACTTAGATGTTAACTTCCTAGCTCTTCCCATACAATATACTAATCACTATTTATCTATTCTTTCAAGTTATTCTAAAATACTTGAAACATATTTAAGTTAAAACCAAAGCAGTGATGATTCAACTACCTTTTGAAAATAGATATATTCAAGAACAAAGGGGCATACAGATCAGCATCATCTATTACTGTTGGAGCATGTTTCATCTCTTCTTTTGCATAAGCAAGTGCTTCCACAGGCTTTAAGGACCAAACATGCCTCTGGATTGCATATAACATGGTCATAAAACTGTTAAAATAACTTTAATTTATATCATTAAATAAAAAAGGAGATAGAGTTCGAAATTCCCATACCTCCAACGCAGTGGGCGGTCTCCTGGGTGGGGGAGGAGTAACAATAATTGGCTTCTCTTTTACTTTGGCATGCTTCCTTCTTTTAGATGATTTTCTACTCTTAGAAGTTTTGTCTCTCTCTTGATTCACCGAAGCCAATTGAATCACTTGATCGGAAGCATTATGCGAGACAACAGAGTTAGTTGGTATCAGTTGGACCCTTTCTGTGCTATTCTTGTGGGTCTCATTCAACTGCATGGTTTCCTTCATGGATTCATATAATGTAACTGTAGCTGGCCGATAAATGTACCATGTGTGCAATGAGTAAGGAAGTATCAACATTTGAAGTGAAATGCCACCAACGGTCAAAATGGCGCCAACAAAACATATTTTTGTCCAATCAATTTTATAGCTTATGGAAGCCCTAAAAATTTCTCTCATTAGATATAGAGTAAAACGGTGCAATAGTCCACTCATTTCATTGCAACAATGTTTTCAACCTTGTCAATTTGGAAGACTAGTTCTAGAATCTTGGTTAATGAAAGAATATATTCTTGCTGTCATCATGATGTGAAAACAGACATAGAAACTTAGGCCTTAGAAACAGTCATTCAAGACCAAGGCAGTATCGAAAAGCACACCGAACGCAATCAGTTACAAAATCATCAAGCTTCAGCACCTGCCAACAAACAATTTAACAGTCATATTGGCTTAAAAGATTATTTCTGCGACAATAAGGACGGAACTGAAAGTAGATTCAATTTAACTGAAATGTTTCAAATGAATAGCTTATTATCTATTTCATGCAATCAAAGTCTCTGGAAAAACTAGTCTATTGTGCTAAAACGTGTTTAAAACAAGCCCAGTTTGAAACATCCATAAAGAAAACGCAGATCCTGGAAGAGGAAGAGATTATCGTAACTTCAAAAGGATATAAAGAGAGTCGACATGAAGTAAAAGTTAGGGTTATATTTTTCATTAAAGAGGGTCACTATAACTTTAAACCACTGGCAATATGTACACATTTTTTTCTCAGATTAGATTAATTAGGGATGCCATGCTCCATATCTTATATATTATAAGGCAATTGCCATGACAAGAAAAAGAAATTAAGTCTTAAAAGGATTTTCAGATATGAACATCAGAGTTCTGAGAGAAATGTGATCGCTGTACTCCTCTGACCAATATTTCTCATTAAAGTACTAGACATTGCTGTGGTTTAAAAATCCTAAATATGGACCAGAAGATGATCAGAGGGTTTGATGCAGCTGCCCTAAAAGTTTGTCCAGCTGATGTACCAGGCAAAATGGTTGGTGATAGGGCTAAGGGAATGAGCAAGGAATCCAGCATTTAAAACTCTAGAAAGTCCGAGGTTTAGAGAGGTGAAGAAGTTGTTTCTAATATCTATGGTGATGCAGACGACACACCTCTATACTCTGTTTGTAAAAGCCACAGGATCCATCATTCTAATTGTGGACATGGAAAATAACAACCCTATTACTAGCAGACGAATAAACATAAATCAATTTGAAGTTCAAAAATCTAGAATGGAAAATCCACCGAAAGAAACTAATGGACGACACAAACCCATACTTTCTGTTACTAAAAGCTACATGATCCCCATCATCCTAATTGTGGAAATGGAAAAAAGAACCTTATGACTAGCAGATGAATAAATACAAATCAATTTTAAACTCCAAAAATCTAAAATGGAAAACACCGAATACAGGGAGCAATCAAACTTCGTTGATCAAACAGATACAGGATCATTATCCTCCATCAAACATCCTGGAGGCTGGCAATACAAACCGATAAACAGTCGCCAAATTCTATAAACCAAAACTTCTTAATTTTCAACCATCACCAAAATCAACGGAAACTTACGTCATGAGAAATCTAGAAGCTCGTATTCTTCTCAGCCACGTCAAGTCGGAATCAATTTCAAGAACTGAATTAAATAACTATCTTATATAAAATAAAACGTTGCTAGTCGAGTAAAGATCGAAATCGTAACACCAAGAAAAAATCAACACGATTGTTGATAGTTGCATCAAATTCCATACCTGGATTAAGAATGCACAAAACAGAGAAAAATTGAGCCGAAAGGATGCTGAAGAACTTTCGGGGGAACGATAAATTGTTGATAGCAAGAGAATCGAATGAAATCAATCGTTCCAGATTCCAGAATGAATGAGGAAGAACTAAAAAGGAACAGCCGAAATGGAAAACAGAGGGAGTGGAACCAAATGGAGGGAAATTACACACAGGCGACAATTGCGGGAACGGTTCTTATTTATATACGTACACTTTTTTTGGCTTAACGACCCAATAGATAAAATAAGGGAAAATTTAAAAAAAAAAAAAACAGTTGGGTAAAAAAAACAGTTTATTACTAAAAAAAATTATAAATATCTTAAATATAACGCAACCATAATTTTTTTTTAATTAGATATTCACATTTTCAATAAAAAAAAAAAAAAGAAGGAATATTCTAAAAAATAATAATCTATTTCTTTAAATATTAAATTAAAAAATTAATGACAAAATTCAAAATTCCAGGTCCTTGATGATCTGGTATTCTCTTACCAAATAACCATGTTACCTATCTGTCTTACAACAAAACTATTCACATATATCTGGATGATGAAAGTTCCACGTCGGCTAATTTAGAGAATGATCATGGGTTTATAAACAAAGAATACTCTCTCTATTGCTATGAGGCCTTTTAGAAAGCCCAAAGCAACGCCATGAAAACTTATTCTCAAAGTGAACAATATCATACCATTGTGGAGAGTCGTGTTCGTCTAACAATATCAACCATGTCAGAAAATTCTCAGAAATTCATCTAAATTTTTTTTAATAATTGAAAGTAAAATGGAGATGTTTATTGTTGGTATAAAAAGAAAAATAATTAAATATGAAAATAATAATTTGCAAGGTTTTTTTTTAATAATAAGAGAAATTTTACCTCAATAAATTGAATAAACTAACTCATAAATTATAATATACAAAAATGAGTGTACGACAAAACTTGGAGTTGCAACCATGGTTTGACTTCGGCTTAGATACGCCACCGTGGTTTGACTTCGTGTTTGACACGCCACCTGTCCTCGTAACAAAGGGCGTGCCACATACAGCTGGCGCCACGTGATTGGTGGCATTGATTTAAGCGAAGGTTGAGGAATACAGCTACTAACCGAAAAAAATAATTAAGTTTGAAAATGTTGTATTATATTTTTATTTTTAAATTTTGAATTTTGAGTTTAATTTCTATTTTATCTTTTAAGTTTAAAATTTTAATATTTTTGTCCATAAATTTTTACTAATTAGGTCTTTGACGTTTAATTTAAAATAATTATTATGTGAAGTTTGTTAATAGAATAATTATTAATATTGAGGGCTAAATAAATTTAAAAACCTAAAATATATTAATAATATATTAATGAATTAAAATTAAATCAAAATTTAATTAGTTAAAATTATTTTAATAATTTGCTTAATAAAAATAAATTAACTTACAACAATTAATTATTCAATCATCTAATAAGTGTCTACGATAATTAAAAAATATTATTTATTTATATAAAATTTTAATAATATTTCATATTTTATTTTAAATAAACTCAATTAATTAATTGATTTTAGCTTATCAAATAATTATAATTAATTATTTAATTATAATAAATCAATAATGGGTTAAAATAAATAATATTTTAATTATTGGTTAAAATATTGTTTTGATTTTATACGCAGTTGATTTTTTAAAGAAAAAAAATTTGACTCTAAGAATGATAAATAGAAATAGAATTGAGATAGCAGGGGTGTATTCTCATTGATATTATAAATTTTAAACAGAATAGCAACTAATACCAACAAATAAGGAAAATATAAACTTATTAAATATTGAGAATAAAATAAAATATACTATAAATTAAATCATAAGAGAATATTAGGTGGAACTTTTGACTGAAAAAGAAGAGACCTGGCTACATTTAGGATATGACGATGCTTACGTTCTACGACTCCATTTTGTTGTGGAGTATAGACACAAGTGCGCTGAAATTCAATGCCACAAGTAGTAAAAAATAGTTGCAAAGATAGGAACTCAGTCCCATTGTCTGATCTAACTATCTTGATAGTAGTATAAAATTGAATTTGAACGAATTTAACAAAGTTTACTAACAAATGATATACTTCTGATTTGTGTTGCATAAGAAAAACCCAAGTACAGTAAAATCATCAACATCAGTGAGAAAAAAACCCAAATCATAATGGGTTGAAATTTTATGTGGTCCCCAAACAGCACAATGTAACATATCAAAGGTAGAATGGGTCGTTATTGAACTTCTTTAGAAAGACAACCTAGTTTGTTTTGGTAATGGACAAATACTACCGTTATGAGAAAGAGTAGCATTATTAAGATGCAATTGATCAGCTAGAAATTTAAAACGAGAAGAAGGATGACCTAGGCGTAAATGCACAAATCAGATGACTGAGATACTTGATTTGCTGAAGATTTGATTGGAGATGAAGAAATATGATAGAGACTTTCGAATTGTTTACTCGATCCAATCATTTTCCCCGTAGCCAAGTCCTGCATAACACAAGAATCAAGATAGAAGGTGACATAACATTTCAAGTCATTAATAAGTTTGCCGATGAAAAGTCATTAATAAGTTTGCTGATGAATATTAGGTTTAAATTGAATGAAGGCACACATAAAACATTGTTTAATTTAAGGTTAAGATTAAAGGAAACATTACTAGTCTGTGACACATGTGTTGTCCCTCCATTAGGGAAATTTATCGTAAATATGGTGATAGCCTTTGGTTCAGTCATACAGAAGCTTCGAATACTATATGATCCATAGCTCTGCTATAGAGAATCCATGGATTAGAACTTGTAGAGTTAATAGATAATGCAGATACTGGAAATAAACAACATTGATGTTATTATCAGAATTACCGAAAGGATGATGATTGAGTGCATATAAGGCTTGTACAATCTGTTGTAATTGCTCAGAAGAAAAATTTGGGATGAAATTAGGTGGTTGTTCTTCTGTATTCAACTGAGAACCATTGGGCATATTTGGAGATGATTGATATCCTCGATTGTTGCGTTGATTGATTTGTACTGCCCTTCTAGAATTATTTTTCTGTTGACATCGATCTTCTGTATGTCCCCTTCTATCACAAAATTTACAGTGAAACTTAAGGATTCGACACTCATCAATTGTATGACCACTTTTATTGCAGTGTTCACATGATTTATTCTTGACGAATTTTGAATATGTTGTTTTCTTCTGCACTGCTGATGCAATCGAGAAAGTCTTAGTAGGTTTAGAAGTTACCTGACGCTGCATCTCTTCTTGTACAAGTAATGAATAGGCTTGCCTCACATTAGGTAATGGAGTCATCATCAATATGTTATATCTCACCGTTTTATAAGACTCATTGAGCCCAATGAGTAGTTGCATCAACTTGTCTTCTTCGCGTTGATCAACATGTATTTGATGTTGATTACAGGTAAATGGTGTGCGGTACGCTTCCAATTCATCCCAGAGTGCTTTGAGCTTGGTGAAATATGCTGACAGTGTCATGGTTCCTTGTGACATCATTGCTATTGACTTTTGTATCTGAAAAATTGCTAGAGCATTCTTTTGTGAGAATTGATCGTGAAGATCAACCCACACTTGATGAGCTGTCTTGGCGTGAATAATACCCTCAGCAATATCTCCTTCAACTGAATGAGTTAACCAAGATATTATCATACTGTTGCACTTATTCCAGAGTTCAAATTCGGTTGAATTTGCATCTTGAGACGGTTCTTCAATTGTGCCATCAATGAAGCCAATTTTCTTTTTGTCAACAAGAGCATGCATAACTGATTTACTCCAAGATTGGTAATTTGTTCCATTTAATTTGATTGGAACAAGTGAATATCCCGGTTGATCAGACAGATGAATATAATAAGGATATGTTAAATCAACATCCGAAATTTTGAAGCTCGATTTGACTGATTCCGCCATAGAGGAAATTTTGATATTTAAGAATACCAAGATCGATGCTCTGATACTATGCTAAGAATGAGAAATAGAAATAGAATTGGAATCGAACGTGTGTATTGTCATTGATATTCATAACCTTTAAATAGATTAAGTCGACAACTAATACCTACCATTAAGGAAAATATAAACTAATTAAATATTGAGAATAAAATAAAATAAAAATAATATTAAGATATATTCCATAAATAATATATACTCCCAATATTATATGTCAATAAATATCATAAAAAAATTTACAAAAATATTCTCACATTTTACTCGCATAAAAATAATAATAATTATTTAATATAAAAATTAACTTTAAATGTTTAAATTTGAGATTGGTAAAAAGTAAAATACTAAAAATTAAAACACAAATATAGAAAATTTTCAATTAGGATGATTTTCAAATATATTTATTTAAAAAATACTTTCCAACTTTAACCTAAAAAAAATGTTTAGAGCATCTTAAACCTTATAAAAATAACTTTAAATTTTTAAAAGTCTAACAAATACACTCGATTTTCTAAATATTTATTAATACTCTTTAATTCTTTTTTTTAATTTAAAAAATACTTTAAAAAAGTCAAAATACTCTTACCATTAATATATAGATATAACCGTTAAATACTCTTATCATTAGTATATACATATAACCGTTAGTACCACGTTTTTAAAATATTAATGAACTTTAACAATTTTAAAGAATGATAAACAAAAGTGATATTAAAAATCCGATTCTCATTAATGTTCACAAAATTTAAATAGGATACAAGCTACCAACTAAATATATTACTAATCAAATCTTGAAAATAATATCAAATATACAAAAATACCTTACTAATAAAATCTTAAAAATAAATAAAATATACTACCAACCAATTTCTAAAAATAAGAAAAAAAAATATTAACCGATTATAGCCGTAAAATATATATTATACAACTAAATTTATATTTTAAATTAAATTTCATAATTAAAAAAAATAACATCATTTTGTTCGATTGGACTTTTTTAAGATTAAAGTTATTAAAATTTTAGTAAATTTAGATATATTTATTTTGAGATAAAATATTTTATTAAAATTTTAAATAATTTGTAACATTTTTTCCACGGTTTGAGAAAATATGAGGAAATTTTGCCAAAAATTAATCTAAATATTAGATTAAAAAAAAGAGGTAAATAGGGAAATTATAATTGAATAAATTATTGAAATATAAATAACTGTAATTAGACGTAAATACGGAAATTTGTAAGTAATAAAGATAGATTATCCAACCAATTAGAATTTAGAGATTTTTTAAAACAAAATTATATGAAATATTTGGCTATTTTTGAAAACTAGGATCTAAATATGGATGGAATTATTTAATTATTTATTTAAAAGAGGCTAGCCAAAAGATAATGTCAACGGCTCTCATGTTACGACGTCGTATAGGAGTCAGACCGAATAATTTGCCATTACGGCATCGTATGTGCTTACGTGTCATCCAACACGTAGGAGGTGATAGTGTGTCCAATGAAAAATAGCCACGTCATCAACTTCTCAACGTGGACTCCACCATGGAATCCCCCAATCTCAAATCTGAAATGTATCTGTTAATTGACATATAAGCCATCAGGAAACCGATAATTTACAAGATTCCACGACCATTAATGTTTTGCAGGAAAGGCTATTTAAGTAATTTAGCTTTTCCCCAAATTTTTTCCCGAAAAGTAATTGGGAAAAAAAATAAGGAGAGGAAAAAAAGAAATTGGTCTATTTCAATTCAACTCCTTCTTGAATTTTCCGTTTCGGAATTGCTACTTGGGCGCATCAATGGTGGCATAGATTTTAGAGTGGTGCGCACTTCTGGTTCGATTTCGATCTCTGGTGATTTAGAATTTAGTGTTTCTCGAACATGGCTGCTCCGTTTTTCTCAACGCCATTTCAGCCTTACGTTTACCAGGTGATCTCTCATTCTAGATTCTTATTTTGCCGTTTGTAATTTTTAAGTTGATTCTGGATCCTGCTTGGTTTGGGGGAATTTCAGGAAGTTAATGGAAACGTTGATTATATGTAGCGTGTTTGATCGTTCGGCATTTTTCTTTTGTGAATAAGGGTTAAACTTCCTTTCGAATCTCATCGATTCTGAATATTGGGAGTTTTTTTTTTTTTCTTGGTCCATTCTTAGTTGTAAACGAAGGGTTTATTGATTCGTGGAGGATATTTTGTGATTCAATTAGGCAGGCGCGGACTGTTTTTGAGTTATGTTCTTACCAGCCTTGTTCCCACAGCCCAAATATTAGATGCATTGATTGATGCACCAGACTTTGTCTGGAATGTGCAAATTGTTGATACTTTTCCACTTCTAGATTATACACTGGTCATTAGTGTGTTGGTCTTCTAAATTTTTTAAAAAAAAACACACATAGACACACACACACGAATTCTGAAGATGAGTTAACCAGTACGGTTATATAATATTCAGTTACTTCAAATGTAGTTCAAGGTATATAACTCTATGACAGAGTGGGATGGGCCTTTTTAACTCTATGACAGAGGTGAGCCATTTAAGCATTTACGAACCAACATCAAATTCTTTGTACAACCAATGAGGTATAAACCAACAATCTCTCCTAAGTTATTGGTTCATTGTGTTGGATCACCATTTACCTAATCTCTACAAGTCTATTGAGTGTATAGACTGTTTGAGTAAGTTGTTATAACCTAGGCTGTAATACCAACCATTGGCCAAATGGGTCGTCCCCCTCCAAAAGCTAGTTTTAAGAGGCAAGTCAAATATCCAACTCTTTCATGATCGACGTTGGCCTAATCCAAAAATAATGGATGTCAATTTAAGAAGGCATAAAACGAAAAGAAAAATTTTAGACACTGCCCCATGACCGTTCTTACACTAAGAATACATGTTTGTGATATGTCAACAGGCCTGAAAGGAGGTGATATGGGTTGATGACAGGCCAGTAACCACTCTGAGACAACTTAGCATTAAAATAGCCAAAAAGGGAAGCACACATTAGATGCCATCCTATTTAAAGCAAAAAAAATAGGAATGGCTTTGAATAAAATCTCTCCCTCTTAATGTAGATTTGGAAGATTTGGAAGGATTTACTCTCATGAAGCTTTATTGTATTGAAATCTAGTGTATGATGTTTGTTACTTTTGTTTTAGTAACAGTAATTTTTTTCCTTCATGTTGTAGAGCCCACAAGATGCAATGATACCTTTTCAGATTTTGGGTGGTGAAGCCCAGGTCGTACAGGTATATAATACATTATTATTGTTATTGCGTGTCACATAGTGGCATCATGGTTAACTTTTTTCATATTTATTGTCTCTCTTCAAGTACTGTAACTCTGTTTATTTTCTTGTTCATCCTGCACTGGCAGATAATGCTGAAGCCACAAGAGAAGGTTATTGCAAGGCCTGGTAAGTAGTGTTAGAATGATTTTTTTTTTTTCTTGGATACACTCGTTTTGGTTTCTGTCTCCTTATTGAGAAACATTATTGAGCTTTGAGAATATAGTTTCTATTTCTTATAACACTTTCTTTAGGTTAAGTTCATGTTTAACCTTTTTGGGATATCGACCACAAATTGCCTTAGACACTTGTTTGATATGCTTTTAATTTGTACACAATGTTCTCACTCTCTTGACACACTTGTATAAAAGGATTGTTTTGTAAACATAGATCCTTCTAATTTGTGAATGTTCAAGTTCTCTTTCCATAGTGTTGGTAAATAGACATCGACATTAGATATACAGAGTGTTTCCAATATGATGATTTGTTGATGCTCTTTATCTGCTGTTTCAGCTGAAATTTACTAATGTTCATATGAAACTTGCAATGATAGTCTTGACAAATTTTCTTATTTCAAAAGGTTTTGTTTATGAGAACTGAGGTTTCCTTATAGTTCATCTACTTTTTCTTATGGGGAAAGGTTCTCTTGTTTCTTTGTTGCTTGCTAATTGTATGTGCAACTGATACACTTATTCTTGCAGGCTCCATGTGCTTCATGTCTGGGAATATAGAGATGGAAAATGTTTTTCTCCCCGAAAACGAAGTGGGTGTTTGGCATTGGCTATTTGGCAAGAGTGTTACTAGCATCGTTCTTCGGAATTCCGGTACAAGTGATGGATATGTTGGAATTGCTGCACCTTCTCTTGCTAGGATCCTTCCGGTTCGTGCTGCGTTTTGTTTTCCTTTTTTTAACAAAAAATAAATAATTAAAATTAAAAAATAATAAAAAAGCTTTCATCAATCGAATTTAGCTTCAATGTAGAACATTCCAATTTATCCTCAATGTCATATATGTTTCTACAATTATGTTGCAGATTGATATGGCGATGTTTGGTGGAGAGCTTCTATGCCAGGTAGAGAATATTGTTTATTTGTTATTTGCTTAATAGCTTCTCTCTGTTACTTTTCTTAATCGCTGATGGAAATAAATTAAATTTATATGTTTAAGACATTGGAATTTTAGTTACTTTAATTCAATTATTCAATCTTATTCTTCTGAGCTCCATTGCCTGATAATCTTCGCTTCATTTTTTATACGTAGCCAGATGCATTCCTTTGCTCTGTTAATGATGTGAAAGTTAACAACACAATTGATCACAGAGTACGCAATGTTGTCACAGGTGTGGAGGTATGCTGATTTATTGTTCCTTATTGGCTATACTGCTCCATGTATCTCTGCTTTCTGGTATTCATTTTTGTGCTTCCTAATGTTATTTATTTTTCCTCTCTCGCTACTCTTGATGTTATTGTAGGGGTTTCTTAGACAGAAGTTATCAGGCCAAGGACTTGCCTTTATTCTTGGGGGTGGATCAGGTATGCACTTCTCACTTTTCATTTTATTTAAGCAAATTCTCCAAAGCACTGTTTGCATTTGTTATGCAATCGTGAAAACGGAACACAAGCCTGAAGTTTCTGCTTTGAGTTTTCATGTGACCTCAACCTGTTGGCTAGAGCAACCGAAGTGTTCAATTTGTTATTATGATTTCTTTCCACACTTGTAATGTGGTGAAATCACAACTGCTGACCTTGAACAATACCAAGTCAGATGCTAATATGTTATATTGGAATTATATTTTAATCACACTTGATGTAGATGGAATACTACTTTACGTGCTGGTGTTTGTTTTTCCTTCCGGGATTTTTGGTTCATAATTTACTAGGTATGATATATATATAATGGCTTGAAGGGGGAGGGAGATCACATTATTTATATCTAAATGTTTATTTTAATCTTCAAGATGAAACGCACGTCATGCTTCAGCCTTTAGACAATTCAAAATTAGTATTTTTATTTGAAGAAAAAGCCTTCTGCTTTTAAAATAAATAATGTTAATATATGTCTACTGATTATGAAAGTTTTTCGGGTTATGCTAGTTGTACAGAAAAATCTCGAGGTTGGTGAAGTACTAGCAGTGGATATCTCCTGCATTGTGGCTATGACCACCACCATTGATGTCCAAATTAAATACAATGGTCCTGTGAGAAGAGCAGTATTTGGAGTAAGAGTTCCTTTTATGGAGTTTGCTTTCACTTTCCATGTCTTCTCTTCGTTCACCATGCCGTAATTTGATTTCTGGATTATTATCTACACAAAAGCCGAACCGATATGGGATACACTTTGCTTAAATACGTAACACACACCAAGCTTTTATGTTTGATGATGATGGAAGGGCTATATTCTTCAAAATTATAGTCTCGGGGCTATTTGGGTATGTATTTATATAGTCTTTGTGGGCTTCTCTCGGGTGGATATCTCATTTGGCCTTCGTCCTCTTAGTTATTTGCAGAGAAATCATAAAAATACCAGCGCCTTCTGGTTCAGAAGAAGGAAACTTAATCCAACCATTTCGAACACTTCTCGTTCTTAAAGCTTTAACCGAAAACATGTGTCATCTTCTAAGAGGCCTTCTCACCATTGTTAAATTGCAGGGTGACAACTTAGTGACTGCCACATTAACAGGACCAGGCATGGTGTTCATACAGAGTTTGCCATTTCAAAGACTTTCGCAGCGTATTGCAAGGTAATTACTGTCAAATTTCTGTGAAGCTATGTATGGAAGATGGTCGGTTTGTTCTCCTTTTGCCTTGAAACTTACTGGAGAAAGTATGTTATGAATTTTGCAGGGCCGTAACATCCCCAAACATGAGGGAAAATCCAAAGTTTTTCGTTCAGCTTGCACTTTTCTTTTTTCTGGCGTATGTTGTGATTGTATCTTCAATAATCTTGACAGATGTATGATTTTAGATCTTTAAATCTCCCCGGGGTGTTTAGGTAGAGGCTGAAATTGGGATAAAGTAATACAAAGCTTTAGGGGTCTGAGTTGGATAACTTTTTCTTTCCTGTTAATTATTGGATTTTATTTTATATATTGGAGAAGTTGTGCAGATATTTTGTGCTGAGTAAATGATATATCTCCCCAGCTTGATTTTGGAATTTGCATTGAATTTTATGTACTTGTTATCATGTGATGGATGTAAGAAGTATTTTATAAATATCATGTCTTTAATTAACTATGCTAACTTGATTTATGACATGTTTAATATTTATCAATGTTTGAACTCAAATGAAACTTCTCATCTATCATTTTGTGTTGAGTTGATTTAACCGAAACTTATAAATTAATGATAATGCGTTGTAGCCATCCGAGTAAGTGTAAAGTGTTGAAGCAAAAACTCACACTCCCTACTTATAGAACAATTTAGTTGATCGAGCCAAGGAGATCAATCAAAAAGCTAGTTCAAACACTTCAAATATTAAAAGAAAAAAAAGAAACTTGAACTAATTTGGACGGACTTGTGCATTAGTGATATCACAAAAAATTAACATCCCATAGCTCAAAGGACTCTGATGTCAATATGGTATAGAATTCCTTGCGAATACGAGTTTTCCGTGACAATCCAGAAATGTCATGGTTCCTCATATACACATTCAATGTAATTAGTGCATAATTTGACAATTTCGATTTTCTTTATCCGATCCAGTTCGTTTGTCTTCTTTCGGATCAGCCCTATGAGACCGAGAAGGGCTTCCGATTCTGTATGACAACAAAACGAGCATTCGCTGGACGACCAAAAATTTAAGTAGGAGCTCGAATTCTAAAATAACTAACTGCATTATATGAGCCACAAGTTGATCAAAGAACCAGCATACCTCTCATATCGATCATGACCTAGAGGACTATTAGCCTGAACCAGAAAGCTCATTCTCAGAGACTCTGGTGGCCAAAGGGCAAAATGATTCAATATAACGAGCCCCATCAATCAAAAAATACCTAATGCAGAGTAAAAGTGGTGGCTACATTCCCTTGCCAAGCCATAGCTCATAACTAGTTTGAGCATCTTAAGATCACCTTCCCCATGAACAAGTAACCTCAGACTCAGTCAACTTATTTAGCTAGAGCTGAGGCTTACCTCAATCACTCGACTATTAGGCCACAAGGTCTAGTAGAACTGATTAGTGCCAAAATTGAACTACAAGACTTCATTTACATCGAAATCACATAAAAATCAGAAGTGAGAGTGAACACTAAACCATCTACAACCAGCAAAAAGGTGTAAAAATCCCTCTAAGCGCTCTCAAATATTACGAATGTGAACACATAGTCGATATTGCTTAAAAGTGGAGCAGGCCTTAAATATACAAGTACAGTATCTTACCGAGACTACGTGGGTGCTTTAAGCCGAAAATAGACAATAGCATACTATTGTGGGGGATACCAGTCACCAACCATCCAACCAACCAACCAACCATTCAACCAACCAACCAACCAACCATTCAACCAACCAACCAACCAGAACTCCCACGGTGAGATCCCACATCGGTTGGAGAGCAGCACGAAGCATTCTTTATAAGGGTGTGGAAACCTCTACTGAGCAAACGCGTTTTAAAAACTTGAGAGTAAGCCCGAAAGGAAAATCCCAAAGAAGACAATATCTGCTAACGGTAAACTTGGGCTGTTACAAATGGTATGAAAGCTAGACACCAAGTGATGTGCCAGTGAGGAGGCTAAGCCCCAAAGGGGAATGGACAAGGCGGTGTGCCAGCAAGAACGCTGGCCCCCAAGGGGAGTGGATTTGGGGGTTCCCACATTGATTGGAGAAGGGAACAAGTGTCAGCGAGAACACTGAACCCCAAATGGGGTGAATTGTAAGATCCCACATCGATTGGGGAGGAGAACAAAGCATTCTTTATAAAGGTGTGGAAACCTCTATCTAAGACGCATTTCAAAGATCTTGAGGAGAAGTCCGAAAGGGAAAACCCAAAAACGACAATATCTACTAGCGGTGGGGGTTTGTGCTGTTACACCCACGCCACAACACCACGACGGGCATAAAATCCAAAAGTTGTCCATAAATTAGCAGGAGATCAGAACTTTGACAGAAGCAAATACTCAAAAATATAACATCTCAAAATCGAACTTTCTAAAACATGTAATAAATGTTGACACAATGCCTCCTCCTAAAGAAGCTAAGCTAACAACACAAGACTCCTTTCAGACTTCAATTCTAAGAGCAATCATTTTTGCTTCCTAAATTCAGTCTGAATTGTTGATTCATTATTGTTATCAAAGACAGACAGTTCTACAGAATTCTAAGCTCAGTAGCAAGCAAAGAAATAACTCTAACAAGCAAACAAGAAACGATCACTACAATCTTAAATTCAACTTCACTGCGCAGGGCTTGGAATCATACCAGTCTTCCTTGCATATGCGAAGATCCCTCCAGCCTGGATGACAGGACCTGCATCCCCAATAGGCTTGAGCTTGTATTCATTCCCCGTCGTGTGGTTGATCAAGCGGCCATCTGCGAGCTCGATAGTCACCACATCGCCAGTCTTACATTCATCGCAGATCCTAATTTCCGATTCCAAAGGATAAATCTCTCCAGTCGCTACCGAGTTTCTGAAGAATATACGCGCATACGATTCAGCAACCACAGCCACCGCACCGGATGCTCCCAACGCAACCGGCGCATGCTCCCGAGAAGAACCGCAACCGAAGTTGTCGCCGGCAATTATGATACTATATTTGGTCTTCATCTCGTTAGATTCCACGAAGCGTGTGGAATAAGAGGAAGGAAGGCCAACTAGGGCGTGAGATCCGAGCTTCTCGTACTCGCTGGGATTTGAGGGGACCAAGGTTAAGTACTCAGCCGGAATAATCTGATCGGTGTCGATGTTGTCTCCGACGACATAGCAGAAGCCGTGAAATACGGTGCTTGAAGAAACGGCGGAGGACGGTGCAGCGGTTGCTCGAGGGAGAATACTTGCAGCACGTGACGGCGCGTGGGATACAGTGGTGGAGAGATCATTGAGGAAATTGGAATAGAAAGTGGGAAACTTGATGGTTCGAGGAGGCGAGAGAAGGGAAATGGAGGGAGACGATCGGGGAGTGGAAGTGGCGAAAGGGCTTACAGACACAAAGGGTGCAGTTGCCATGGTTGTTGCTGGGCGAGAAAGAGTGAGATCGAATGGGGACTCCTTTCTGGTGTATTGTGTCTGTAATTCTAATTATTTCTTGTCTGATTATCCCGACAACATAAACCCTAAAAATTGTTATAAACTAGTAAATATTTGATATTTAAATTTTACAAAATTTTTAGTTATTTATTTAATATTAGAATTATAAATAATTATGAGTAACTCTACGACCAAACCTAGTACAACCCAAAAATAGAGGGTTATTGAAGTCAGTAATCCAACCATATCAAAATTTTTTGTTGGTCCAAAATTTTTCTCTCATCCAACTCAATGCATGTATACCTCTTGCGACAGCGGGCTAGCGATTGTGCGACACTTGTTCTAACCTAACGAACAAGTCATGAGAAATTCAAAATTCGAAATTCGCAAATAATGTCGGTGTATGCTTGAGGCTCCAGTCACGTTTGAGAGAAATGTCTTGGAAAACATGAATTGAAATACGTTGAAAACAATTTGAAAGTAGACAATGTTATAAGCTAAAAGCGATTAGGCAACAACAGCGGTTTTGATAGCATATGGCTTGAGTAGGAAAAAATGACGACTAGTTATATCCCCTATAGTACATTTTGGGGATTTTAATTCTGACGGGTGTAAACATTTTTTTTGGAGAACGGTGGGCTAATTTTGTAGTAAAGGTCTATATTAGATGAAAGTATGTAAAATGGGTTTGAAATAAACATACAACCTTTGACAACACATCCTAGACAAGCATGACTGAGCATCCGACATGCGCCCATAGACAATATGCTTTGATAAACACGGCAGTGACAGTTGGTGCATGATTGCACGACACACCATGCAATATAGGTTTCTAGTTTTAGTAGTTCTCTCTCCATTCGTAACATAACTATATAGATTTTCGAAGCACTCTACCCTAAACAAAACCTAATCTTTTTCCTTGTCGTACATGGACTAAATTGTTACGTACTAAAGTTTAGGCACTAAATTGTTACTCTCATAAAAAAATTCAAGAACAAGTATGTATGCGCGTATGTATGTATATATATATATATATATACATTGTACGCTAACATTAAGACAAAATGTATAATATCTTAACCAGATGAATTATACTACGAGTTTTATAAAGGGTTAAATACATGTCACATAATAACACATGGGCTAATTTTGTAGCGATAGAAATAACCGGTTCATCAGGCGGGAAACATATGATTTCTAAAAATTTAAAAATTAATTTTGAAATATCTTGGATTGGTATAAAATTAAATAGATATATATATATAAAATATACTAGCAAACTTTTACATGGGATTGCATGAACATGAATAAGGCGAGCAATATGGGCTCGTAGTTAATAAAGCCCAACGAGATCTTTTTTTCTTTTGTAACTGGGCCCATTGATGAGTTGGGCCTAACATTCGAAGCCCAAGGTGTGTTTTTTAGTGATGGGCAACACGACGTCGTTTCAAAGGGCAAAATGGACGGTCCAGATCGGAAACATGGGATAAATCGCTCTATATAAACTGTGGTTCTCTTAACGAAAACCCTAGTTGGTGAATCCTCCCTGCAAGTTCTCCTTCCGATCCAATGGGTACTCTCTCGTTCTCTATGGGGTTTCTTTGATATGTTCATTCTACTCTCCATTTTCGTTTCAATTTGCTAAGGGTATTAGGGTGTTGTCACAAGTTTCCGAATCGATATTCTTGTTGCTGTTTTGATTTTCATTCATACTGTCGAGTAATCTTTTAGTTTTGGTTTGTCGAGAAGCTTAGACTGTTGAATGTACTTTTTTGATAATGTGAAAAATGTTTTTCTTTTTTGCTGAACGTTTGGATTTCTTTCGGTTGCTCTTGGAATTTGGACAATAGGGGCGTACAAGTACGTGTCGGAGTTATGGAGGAAGAAGCAATCCGATGTGATGAGGTTCCTACAGAGGGTGAGATGCTGGGAGTATCGCCAACATCCTTCCATTGTCCGCGTCAATCACCCTACTCGCCCTGATAAGGCTCGCCGTCTCGGTTACAAGGCCAAGCAGGTTTCAAAACTTCTTACCATTTTAAGATTAAGTTCTTTCTGTGTAGCCTTGTTCCCAGATTCATCTGTATCGTCATTTTCGGATGTAATATCTTCTTCTGTTTCTTGATCGTTCGTTTATTTGAGCGTTTTTCTTATTATATTGTTTAGAAGTTAAGATTTCCTGCAGTTTTGTTCGTCGAATTCATGTATTCTTTGATTCTTCTTTCTATCGGATTGGTTTTTGCACCTGCCATGATTTTGATAGGGTTTGGTAGAATGGTTTCTGTTTGATTGATGGCTTTGCATTCAATATTAAAGTCCGGCCGTATATTTTTTCCAGAAAAATAAATATATTAATGTTATAACCACGTTTATTTGAGTTTGGTATTTTCGTACTGTGAGCGTCATTTGCATTCAGCCTTGTATGGTTACCAACGAAAATGGTTTGCAGGGTTATGTGGTATACAGAGTCCGTGTGAGACGTGGTGGTAGGAAGAGGCCAGTTCCCAAGGGTATTGTGTATGGAAAGCCAACCAACCAGGGTGTTACCCAATTGAAGTTCCAGCGCAGCAAGCGATCCGTTGCAGAAGAACGAGCAGGGCGAAAGTTGGGTGGTTTGAGGGTTCTCAATTCTTACTGGATCAACGAGGTTATTGACCTTACCTCCTATTTTCATTTGATAATCTCAGGCCTGGAGAAATAAATGGATCTGAATTTGAGATTGTTGTTCTCTTAATTGAGTAATATATTAAATCCTTGAATATCGTTCTCTTTCTGCTCTACTGTTCTGATTGTTCTTGAATTTGAAAACAGGATTCTACATACAAGTATTATGAGGTGATTTTGGTCGATGTTGCCCATAACGCTGTTCGCAATGACCCAAGAATCAACTGGATCTGCAATCCAGTCCACAAGCACAGGGAGCTCAGAGGACTTACATCCGCCGGCAAGAAGTACAGGGGACTCCGTGGAAAAGGACACTTGCACCACAAGGCCAGGCCTTCTCGCAGGGCAACCTGGAAGAGGAACAACACTCTCTCCCTCCGTCGATACCGTTGATTCCGGTGATGTTTCTCTCTGTTTTGGTATTGTTATTAACTGCATTCTGTTTGGAGAATTTAGCTGGAAGATTTTACTCCTTCGATCTAGAATTTTTCGAACTTTATATTTTACATTGAGATTTGTCAGAATCTTTCTAAACTAAGTGATAATTTTTGTTTATTGCAGTCCCTGTTTTTTATATTTCATAACCATTTTTGTTTGGCCCTATTTGGTTGAAAGTGCCCATGAGTTAGTTGTATTTTTGAACTATTCATTGAAATCATAACCCTATTTGGTTGAAAGGGGCAAGCCTGCAAGCCCGCAAGCCCGGCAGATTTTTGTTGTAACTCAATGCCTGAGCACAATTTTCTCCCTTAAAAACGTCTCGAAAAGGAACCTTTTGTTTCTGCAAAAGCATGTAATTACGAGAAAAATATGAAGGTCACCGAGAATTATTGCCTGCAACTAATTATAACCCTTTTAAAGTTTAAAAAGCAAGGTTTACAAATTTTTAGAAATGGGAACGAAATTCTATATCCCAATCCTGTTTAAATTCAACTATTATGTTGGTATTATCTTAACAGAATGAGAGTTGCTATTTTGGATAATGGTGATGAACAGAATTTTCAACCGTCTTTCGTCTTCATTATCTATACTCATAGAACATTTGTTTAAAATTTTTTATTATCATTTTATCTAACGAAGTGTATATTACCCAAAATAAGCCAATTTAGTGTAGTATAGGTTAAAAATTGGACCATTGATGATCTATGTGTGATAACAAATCCTACAAGGATTGGTTTGAGTGAATGTTCTATTTTTTCAAACTTGCTCCCCTTCTTTCCGATTGGACTTTGGACATGCCATTTTGAAGAGTAAAACGATGATTAGGTCATCTTATTGCCATTTTGAAGAGTAAAACGATGATTAGGTCATCTTATTTTAGCGTATAGGTTGGTGATGGCTAGGTCATCTTATTCCAATACGATCCCCATGTCTCATTAGCCCATACGGCTCTTGAAAGAATACCTCCTTAAAAAGATATCCAATGATCTAATTATTATAAGAAAAAAAAGTATTTCTTAAAACATTGATCTCTTCGTTCATGTATTGGATCTCATCAAAGGAAAATATTGGTTCTCTTCTTAGTTGATTTTTTTTTAAATATTTTTTAGTTTAATAATTCGTCAAAATCAATAGTGAATTATTCATTTGTCAAAATCAATATACAAAAAGGTTCCTTCTCAATTTTGCATGTCAATTGTCAACCAATATTAGTTCCCGCTCTCCAATTTCATTGGTTAATGATGCACGTAAGTATGATGATATTGAGTTATGCATCTCTTTTATGTGGATCATTATTTTCAGTAGCTCTTATAGTGATTACATTTCAAATTATTTTCAGTAGCTCTTATAGTGATTACATATCAAAACTCTATGAGATTTTTTTTGTAAAAACAATCATTTATTAAATGCGTTATTTTCCTTTGATGAAATCCAATATATGAACAAAGAGAACAATATTTTAAGAAACATTAGTTTGTAGAGCGCAAGACTCTTAACTTTGTGGTCATGGGTTCGAGTCCCATGGTGGGCGATTTGCTCTAATTGTTTTTAATAGAGAAGAGTTACCAATTAGTCACTCAGTCACTCGATCAAGACATGATTGTTTTATTAGTGAAGAGACACTAACAAATAAACATTGGGTTACTCGACAAGATGTCTAAGGGTTGTACCTATTGTGTAGGCCCGTCTAGCTCAGTTGGTAGAACACAAGGCTCTTAACCTTGTGGTCATGGGTTCGAGCCCCATGGTTGGCGATTTTCTCTAATTGTTTTTAATAGAGAAGAGTTACTAATTAGTCACTCGATCAAGACATCAAACGATGGTGGGGGATTTGTAGCTCAGTTGGTAGAGCGCAAACGATGGTGGGGGATTTGTAGCTCAGTTGGTAGAGCGCAAGGCTCTATTCACTAATAAACAATCATTTGATGTTTTGATCTAGTGACCCAATTACCTCTTCTCTATTAAAAACAATTAGAGCAAATTTAGAGCAAATCGCCTACCATAGGGCTCAAACCCATGACCACAAGGTTAAGAGCCTTGCGCTCTACCAACTAAGCTAAACGGGCCTACACAATAGATACAACCCTTAGACATCTTGTCAAGTGATCCAATGTTTATTCGTTAGTGTCTCTTCACTAATAAAACAATATGTCATGATCGAGTGACCTAATTAGTAACTCTTCTCCATTAAAAACAATTAGAGCAAATCACCCACCATGGGGCTTGAACCCATAACCACAAGGTTAAGAGCCTTGCACTCTACAAACTAAGCTAAACGGACCTACACAATGGGTACAACCCTTTGACATAAATAAGTGTTTCTTAAAACATTGTTCTCTTCGTTCGTATATTGGATTTCATCAAAGGAAAATAACGCATTTAATAAATGATTGTTTTTACAAAAAAATTCTTTTAGAGTTTTGAAATGTAATCACTATGAGAGCTACTGAAAATAATGATTCACATAAAAGAGATGCATAACTCAATACCATCATACTGACGTGCATCATTAACCAATGAGATTGGAGAGCGGGAACTAATATTGGTTGACAATTGACATGCAAAATTGTGAAGGAACCTTTTTGTATATTGATTTTGACAAATGAATAATTCACTATTGATTTTGACAAATACATTCACTTATTCATAGATCAAAGATTAGAGATTCGATTCTTTCACTCCACATATTAAATTAAAAAATATTAAAAAAAAAAAAACTAAAATACAATTTTTAAATATTAAAATTGAGTCATTCTACTCTTAATAATGTTTTATTTGAGGGTAGTTTTTACTGAATTTGCAAAATAGTTATAATAATGCATATTAACAAAATACAAAGTGTGAAACTGTTTGAAGTTGATAGACTGATTTTGTACATTTAAGTATTTACTAAAATAGAACTAAGTGGTTTAACTTTATAACCAGATAAAAAAAAAAAAAAGCTTAAGAATAATGAAGAAGCTTAGTGGTTAATTTACGATAAGCCCATCATAAAAAAAAAAAATAAAAAAAAAAAAATAACGAAATAACAATAGAATAGAAATAGTAAAATTGGCTCGGAAGATTTAATAGGTCATATTTAGAAGTGGTTTTAAAACGGGTCTAAATTGTACATATCACATCAAAACATATATTTGATCATTCTTTAGAAGTAAATTTGAAACGGGTCTAAATTGTACATATCACATCAAAACATATGTTTGATCATTCAATATCAGTTTTGACAGTATAAATGTCGTGTTTAAACATAAAAAATTAACATTAAATTAATTTTTAGTCACTAAATACATGTTTTAAAATTATTTTGAAACATAAAAAAGGTAATTTTTACTCCTTTAAAAGCCCTTACCTGCTGTGGCTTTTAACTATCAAGCATCATCATGACAAGTGGTTTCTTTTTTCTCTAAACAATCAAGATTTGGTTGGCTTGTTGAGTTCGTTGGTTACTTTGGTGTCCAATCCTTGCACATGGCGGGGCTTTCAACTCGAAATTAGTAGCAATAAAATGTTGATCAAAGTCATAATCGACTAAACCTAAAGCTTTCAGTTCAAAGTCACTGGGAGGAAAGATAACCTTAGGAGACCAACAAAGAGTACTTTCATGCCTTTGTGGTTGTATCTGAATAATACTAAATGTGGGTCAACTGTAATCACACATAACTCCTTCAACAATACAAATGACAAGATGCAGTTGTATGCCATTGATTTCAAGAAAAAGCAACGATGAAATGCATTGCTTAAGGTCAATAATTGGGCCATAATCGTGTCGGTTTCAACAGAAATTTTAAATCTCAATGCATTTACATTACCCTGTGAATAGCATCCTCCATTAGCTGAGCCCAAAACTGAAGTAGATGTGTCTCTTCCTCTATGCAACTAAATCAAAACCTTGATCCTGAAATTCCAAATTGCAGAATTCCCATTAGAGTTGTTCATAATAAAACATCAATGTACTACAAAAGACTAAACTCGTTACTCGTTAGTTGTTCCTATCGATGATCCGCTTACGCACGCATACAAGCGTTTACACTGCCCTTCTTTAAACTACAGTTCCGTCCTTTAATTAAGCTTATCGAAAGTTATGCATATGAATCCGGTAACCTTTACATGGATAGCTCTGAAATGGTACAGATAGGAGAGGAGTATCTTAGTCCTATATGCTTGAAGAAATATGGATTAATCTTCCTACTACGTCCAACACACAGGATAATCAACTTCCCTAGAAAAATCCAAGATGATGTTCCTCCATAAAGAAAAGGGGGAGCTTTATCTTTATGAGCTATGAAATGCCTACATTAATTACATATACAACGTGTATGTTCAATCTTCAATGAAGTTTGACTCAGAAACCAAAAAAGGGCTACAAGGACTAATATTTCAGAAGGAAAAAGGAATAGGGAATACAAGGGAATAGACATAGAACAAGGGGGGTATCATCAGATAAATAATTAATTTCACCCTAAAAATCTTGACGGAACCCCTATTCCTTGAGCTACTGAACCTATATGACTGAAGAGGAGAGGAGTGAACTCTCATTCGATGAAAGTTCCTATACATATTTCACTTTCTGAGTAGCTCTGTTTCAAGATTTCATCATAAAAGCACAATTAATACTTCATATTTCTTCACATATTATTACATTTTGCAAATTGAATGTTCTAATATACTCTCCCCAACCACTTATTAGGAAAATGAAAATCCCACGCATACTGCCCCTCCATCTATTGCTTCCTACTTTTTGACATTGCCTTTCCAACACGAGGGCATGGCTAACAATGAATGTACCAGCAGATGATGAGCTAATGTAGTACAGGGAAGTGAGGGAAAAGCGGATACAGCAAGGTCAAAGGAAAGGAAAAGACGATGTTCTGTTTGAGGTAGTTTTAATTTCGAAAAAGAAGTATGAAGATTTGTAAGTCGAATGACTAAATGCATACCGAAACTTCCAACATGTGCCAATTCAAATGATATCTAAAACACAAATACTAATTCACATTATCCTGGCCATCCAAAACACTAATCTAGTTGCTCAAAAATATCTCACCCGCCCTCTACCTCCATCCAGAAAACTCGTTTAGGATCATTATCATTTGCCAGATTTCTGATATTTCCACGATAAGTTCAAGAAGAGAGCCTAAACAAAAGGAACCATAGGGGTAAGAAAACAAGGAGTTCCTACGCTAGAGTCAAGTATTTTTGCTTTCTTATTATAATCACTCTTTTCTCAACAGGCCTAAGAAATAATTCACTGCACAACGAGAAATTCCCTTCATCTTTTAGACAGAAATCCAACCAAAACCTCATTTGGAAATTTACAAGGTGCATCAGACCGCATAATCCTAATAACCAACACTAGAAGTAAATGTTCAACTACCATTTGTACCCAAGTCCGATTTCTTCCAGAAAAAACCGAGCTTCGAAAGTCCATAAGTCAGGTCAAAGCGATTTGAACAATGAAAGAACAAATCCAATTTCATATAAGACAACACGAAGAAGACCTTGATTTCCAGTCATAAACAGATCACAGGAATGATAAAATTATACAGATAACGCGAAAGATCAAGAGGAAAGAACTAATTAACAAAAAAGCGAAAAGGAAGAATCGAAACCAAGTAAATTTCATAGGCACACCTACGTCTGTTTGGAGTAAGAAGAAGAAGAAGAACCACGCTTGTTCCGGAACACCATATATCCGAGGGGCAATACAACTCCGATCATCATTATAACGGCCCCAATTATGTATCGCAGTGGACCGGGTGGTTCCACTTCAATGAACGTCGTGAACTGCGACCAACGCAATCATGTTCCCGGATCAGAAACTCACAAATTCCATTGCATAAGAAAAAAAAAATGAATATAGAAAGAAGAACCCTAGAATTTGAGATTCAGTTAATGTTCTACGAGATCTGATCTTAAAGTTGGAGAGACTTACAGGCATTTGTCGAACACAGAGCGAGAGGACCGCAGGAGGTGGAAGCCAGGGATCTTAGTAAAAGACGGGGAGGGGGAAGATCACCAACCGGTTTATTCAGTTTATTTATTTATTTATTATCTATTTTTTATTAAAATAATAATAATAATAATAATAATAAATAAATAAATAATAATAATAATAAATTAAAAAAATAAAATAAAGTAAAAAACAATCCATAAGAGATGAATTTATGCTTTGATCAGTTACCTATCATTGTCAGTCTTACGATTTTAAAACGTGTCTATTAAGGAAAAGTTTCCACTCCCTATATAAGAAATGATCCACCCCTGGGTCTAGCGTCCTCGCTGGCACACCGTCTGATGTCTGGTTCTGATATTATTTGTATCTGTTATGCGCTGAAAGCAGAACAAATATACTCACAACACCAATGAACAAAATTACACAAAGAGACACCAAGATATTTATGTGGTTCGGAGAGAAGAAGTTCCCCTACATCCACGGGTAGCAACCAATCACTAATAAACAAAGTGTTACAACTGAATACTTCACTATCACACTACACAGACTCTCACAGCCTTTACCATCATGATTGAACCTAAAAATATCAGCAGAAACAAACTTAAAGTCCCAGAAAATAGACTAATCAATCCGAGAGAATAGAACCTTATGACAATTTACAAAAGTGTCCAGCATACATATCGTCGTCAGCCTCACCGTTTTAAAACGAGTCTTTTAGAGAGAGGTTTTCATATCCTTACAAAAAATGATCCATTCCCTGGGGCCAGCGTTCTCGCTGGCACACTGCCTGATGTCTCGTTCTGGTACCATTTGTAATAGCCTAAGTCCACTGCTAAATATTGTATGCTTTGGCTCGTTACATATCACCATCAACCTCACGGTTTTAAAACGCGTCTGCTAGAGAGAAGTTTTCACACCCTTATAACACGAATGCTTAGTTCTCCTCTCCAACCAACGTAGGATCTCACATATTATTATTATTAATAAACAACCTATGCTCATCACAAATTTTAAATTCCATTAGATCATATAAGTAACATATATGATCTAGATCACATTCATACCGAAATGATATATTGTATTAATCTATAACCACCTTCACTCGAATAATCATCGACATAAATTAATTTATTAATAATTTAAAATTTTATGTAACAAGAATAATACAATAATGAATTTAATTAAAAGGTATTAGGATCAAAGACTACTATAGGACTCTTCACTTTATGGTGGCCATCATCCCACACCAATGAAGCCGACGCAATGCTACTGCTGATGCTTCCTTCAATTGTAACCTCAAAGCTCAGCTCCTCGCCCAAGGCATTGAACGAAAGAACAGAAGGATTTACAGTAATTTTAAGCCCCGAAGGACCCGAAACTATGGCGTTATATGTCGAATTCGCCGACCCAACATTTGTGACCCTTCTTCTATAAACTTGGCTGATGGAGGTTGAGATAGGCGTGGAAAGAGCAAATGAAGGATAGTTTAGATCGAAAACTAGGTCGAAATCGCCTCGAGAACACGAGCTATTATCTCCAGAGACTTGCTGGACCAACTTGGTGCTGTAACCTTGACCACAAAGGAACCTTACATAGTCGATCTCAGTGGCGTTGTAGATCAGTCCGGGATTCACTGCGCTTAAAGGGTTTATGTGGCCTGAACCATATGCGAATTCTGCTTCTGGGTTAAGCTCAGCTCTCATGGGAAATGCTGTTTTCGTAAATTCATTGGGTTAGTAATCTATAGCCTAAATTAATCGGGTTAATAATAGTTCAAATGAGTTCACGCTTAGAGAAATCCATTTGTCCTATAGGACCCATCTCGAACCAAGAACAGAATCTCCATTTAAATGGGGGAGAGAGTGAGGACAGATTTTTACCCATTAGCTAAACGGGGCTGAGGATAGTGATTATATTCTCCATCCCCGAACTCGCTCCAAACCCCGCCTAAATCCCCGTCCTGCCTCATTATATATATTTAAAGTGTGGAAGTGTGATATCCCATATTGATTGGGGAGGAGAACGAAACACCATTAAGGTTAAGTAATGGGGAAGCCAACAAGGGAAAGCCTAAAAACTTTGAGGGGGAAGCCCAAACGGGAAAGTCCAAAGCCCATAAGGGAAAGCTTAGATAGACAATATCTACTAGCAGTGAGCTTGGATGGTTACAAATAGTATCAGAGTCAGACACCGTACTATGTACCAGCAAGGAGGCTCTTCCCTGAAGGGGGTAGACATGAAGCGATGTGTCAGTAAGGACGCTAGCCCCCAAAAGGGAGGTGGATTTGGCTGGGGTTCAGCCCAAAAACCTTGAGGGGAAGTCCATAAGAGAAAACCCACAATATCTGCTGTTAGTGAGCTTGAGTTGTTACAAATGGTATCAGAGCCAGACATCGGAATATATACCAGTAAGGAGGCTTTTTCCTGAAGGGGGTAGACACGAGGCGGTGTGCCAGTAAGGATATTGGGTCTCAAAAGGGGTGGATTTAGTGGGGATCCCACATCGATTGGAAAAGGAACGAGTGTCAACAAGGACGCTGGGTCCGGAATGAGGGTGAATTGTAGACCATCCCACATTAGTTGGGGACGAGAACGAAACACCCAAAAAATTATGTCCGATCTCCACAAAAGTAAATAGAGAATTTTGTATGTTTTTCCGATCACACCCCGTAGACATCTCTATGGAAGCTAGGTCCGAGTCAAGTATTGGTGTTAATACCTGTTGTCATAAGTGCGGATTTGAGGGCAGCGGGAGACCAAGAAGGGTGAAACGACTTAACATAAGCAGCAACAGCGGTAGCATGTGGGCAAGACATTGAAGTCCCTGAAATGATATTAAAAAGGAGTTGCCTGGTATCTTCTTTAGCTCCTGAAGGTGGGCCTAGAGGCGTCCATGCTGCTAGAATTTCAACACCTGGACCACTCAAATCTGGCTGCAATGCCACAACAAACAACTCAATAATACTAATAATAATCAAGATTAGAGAGTGATTAAGTTCATGATTATGAAGCTAATCACCTTCAGAATATCAGGGGTTATTGGATTTGGACCTCTTGAAGAGAAGGATGCAACAAAAGGGGTTGCTTTATACTTCCCTTCAGTGCTTTTTAAAATAGTAGCCGTTGGAAGGCTGTAAATAATGATGTAATTAATTAGTGTTAAGTAATGGTAATTACTGAGATTAAAAGTAAAAAAAAGATTGGATTAATTACCTAGTTAAATTGGCATAAGAAGAAATGAGAGCTCCTTCTTGTGTGCCAAGATGAGAGGCAGGCAAAGGAAAAGGGGACGAGAGATCCTTTGGATTATTGTCTTGCATTATAATCCCGATTGCACCTTCTAAAAATATCGTCTTTTTCGGCGATACGAAATGATCACAAAGGACAATTTTACCCTTCACCAAATCCCTATCCACTGAGTTTCTCGTACAAAATCTATTTCACATAAAAAAAAACGTCAAAATTCAACTCGAGTATAGCTCAATTCTATTTCACAAACAAGAAAATACTCTAAAATATACCGGGTTTGAAAGCTCGTGTTATTTTCTCACAGTTTTGACCGTGGTTTTAATATTTCTTGATTGAATCGTATTCTTATCTTTATTTCATAAAGAAAAATAAGTTTCTAATGATTAGATCTTAAATTGTAGCATAAATTAATTCATCGAGTTGATGATAAAATACACCGACGTTTCATGCGATTTGTTGAGACATAAGTTTTTTTTTTTAATTTATTATATAAAAACAATATTTATAAACTATATATATATAATTAATAGTACCTCGAGACCGATCCATTAAAGCCAGCAGTAACATTAGGAATATTTCCGGCATACACCAATGAATATTGTGTTCCATTCAAATCAAATGTATTAATCGTAACTCCCTGTCGTAAAGATATAAAAAAAAAAATTATATTCAAGTTCATAAAATTTGATCGAAAAGTATATTTATATGACTTACATGGAAGCTTCTTCCATCTCCAAGTTGAACTTTAGACAAGAATCTCCTATTAGTAGTACTAGAGGCTACTGAAAGAGACCAGGGTGAGAAGTTTCTAATAGTGAAAGGTTTCCAACCATCGTTACCAGCAGACATCGACGTAAGGATTCCATTTTTCATTGCATGGAATGCTCCAATAGCTATGGAGTCGTTGAAGTAATTATTTGGTGTGTGTCCTCCGACCGACAAAGAGATGATATCAACCCCATCGGCAATGACATCATCGAATGCGGCAAGAATATCAGCTTCAGGACAACCGTCAGACCAACATATTTTGTAGGAAGCGATTCGTGCTGATGGGACTCCTCCCCTTGCGGTGCCAGTGCCAAGACCAAGCATACTTGCTTGCCTGACCAACCCGCCTGCTACTGTTGATGCCGTATGCGTCCCATGGCCATTTGAATCTATTGGACCTTGGATATCGCCTATTGCATAATTACCACTGGTGCGATATGATCGAGCTCCAATGATTTTACTACGTGGCACATCCAATATCATATTAGGCTTAATGAATACTAAATTTGTGAAAAAAAAAAAATCATTTGAGAAAAATATATATAATTTAACGTACTTGTTACACGAGAAATTGAGTGAGGCTTCACAGCTACCCTTCCACTTGGGTGGCGGCGGGCCATATCCTTCATCGAGGAAACTAGGTGAATTTGGCCAAATCCCCGTGTCGAGTACTCCAACAATGATATCACTTTCTACCGATGGAACTCGGCTGACTTGTTGAGACAATCCCATAAAGTCCCATGATCTTGTCGTGTGGAGTTGTTTCTTCCCATTTGGGAAAACCGAGATTACACCCTTCATTTCTAAAATTAAAAAAAAAATATATATTTTTATATAATTTTTTCGGAGAGAATCAAAAGTGTATATATAGGGATATTTTCGAGACCCGACATGGAAAGTGTTCAACCATATTGTTTAAACATATTGCATTATATTTTTAGCTCACGAGAAACTTTCTCTCGTTTCATCTCTCGATCTCCATAGAGCAAAAAAAGAACATATTTTAGGTTCTTACGAACGTACCTGAAACTTTTTGGACTTCCTCTTCAGTCAGTTTCGCGACAAAGCCATTGAAACTTCTCTTATAGCTATGGAGTAAAGAGTGTGGAGCGAAACTACTGAAATAAAGTTTATTTTTATTTGTCAGTATATTTTTTCGACTTATATTACTTAATTTATTAAATTTTAAATTTTAAAAAGTGTCTAATAATCTTCATCAACTAATTATTCAATATTTTTTAAAAATTAAAATAATTATTTGTTACAATTAGATACTTTTTTCAGACACAAACACGAAAGTTCATTGACTCTTGTAATTTAACCTAAACAATCACCTGCCGATGGCTTCTCCTAGCATTCTCTCGTGATGAGCTCGAGTTGAACCTCGGTCTTTTGGATGACTTCCCATGTACACAATATACGTCTACAAATTGAAAAACGACATATTAGATAAAAAAACACACGACGGAAGTTAAGATTTAGAGACAAAATTAGAGTTACCGTTCTATCATCATCTTTAGAATTTGAGCCGAGAAACAGCAGAGAAAGGCAAAAGGCGAGGAAGAGAAGGCTTGAAAGAGAAGACATTGAATATTTGTTTTGATATTAAAGCATGAAAGGATATGGAAAGGTATTTATACACCAAAGTTTGATTGAAACAGGAAAAAAGAACCCATTATTTGAAAATGTCAACAAAATTATTAATGATTTTTATTTCCTTGGTCTTCAAATTAATCAACAATTGAAATAAAATATATGGGAGACGCCTTTTCTCCTCGGACTTTTCTTTTTCGGGTAGAGTTGGATGAATAGTATTTTTCTACACACGGTCCACACACGTACAGGGGACGCACTAGGCGAGCTCATTAACGTACTGTAACAAAGCCCAAGCCCACTATTAGCAAATATTGTCTGTTTCGGCCTGTTATGTATTGTCATCAGCCTCACGATTTTAAAACGTGTTTGCTAGAGAGAGATTTTCACACCCTTATAAAGAATGTTTTGTTCCTTTCTTCAACTGATGCGAGATCTCACAATCCACCCCCTTTGAGGCCCAGCATGCTTGTTGACACTCGTTCCCCTCTCCAATCGATGTGGGATCTCACATGTACCTCGATTCAATGTTTCTATGTTTTTGTAAGTTGATCGTCGCCTATACTCAGCGTTAACGGAATGCAATTCTATCAACAACATTTCATTCATTTGAACAGTTTATCTGAGAACCTATTCATGAGACCGATATAACTTAATTGTCTTAAAATCATCCCTAAATAGTAAGAAATATTATCAGTCGAGCTAAAATTGATCAATACCGATTTTAATTGGGTCTAAAACACTAAAAAACGTTCTAAAACAAAACTAATAAAATAGTAATTTATGAGACGAGTTTTTATTAATAAAATTCAACATTTTTTTAAATGAAATAATTGAGATTTTTCAATATAATAAAAGATAAGTTTGAGAATTTCAAAATTTTAAAGAGCAACTTGAAAATGGCCTTATTTGAATGATATAGAGGTCATTTAGCACGTTTAATTGATTTTATTTATCTATAATATTTTAATTACTTTTAGATAAAATAAAATAAGTACTTATTTGACCGCCAAATGGTTTCTATTTTTTGCTATTTAAAATAATAACAGACAATAAAAATATTTTTTCAAAAATATAAATTTATTCAAAAAAAGATTCTTAATTTATTTTGATCAATAATTCTATAAGAAACTTAACTAATAATACACAAAAGAAATTATAATGTATTTAATTTTTTTATTCAACATATTATAGCCTCTCGACCTCAATCATTATACATACATACATACATACATATATATATATATATATATATATATACACACACACGTGCATAACTTTGGTACTATAGCTCATTTTTATTGATGTGTACATATGTGCGTGTACCAAATGAACAAGTGATTTATATACTCTCATTAAAACTCAAAATCTGTAATGATCTCGTTGTTTCGATGCAGTTAACTCGATGAAGAAGGCTTTGAATCCCTTGAACCCAGCTCTGTTTATGGATCTTGTTCTTGCACTTGAACTCTAGAAGACCTTGCGCGGTTTTCAAGCCGAAATAGACCTCGTTCAATATGTCTCTCTTTCTTACGTATGGCCATGAAGATGTTTCGTCGCAGAGCCCGTAAACAACACCTATAATAGGACAGATGCTGTAATGCCCCAAATCTACTGCTAGCAGATAGTGTGCTTTTTGGGCTTCCCCTTTCGGGCTTCCCCTCAAGGCTTTAAAACGTGTATGCTAGAGGAAGGTTTCTACACCCTTATAAATGGTGGTTTGTTCTCCTCCCCAACCAATGTGGGACATCACAATCCACCCCCTTCGGGGCCCAGCGTCTTTACTGACACTCTTTCCTTCTTCCAATCGATGTGGGACCGCCCCCAAATTCACCCCCTTTGGGGCCCAGCGTCCTTACTAGCACATCGTCTTGTGTCTACCCCCCTTCGGGGAACAGCGAGAAGGCTGACACATTGTTTGGTGTCTGACTCTAATACCATTTGTAACGCCCCAGATCCACCGTTAGCAGATATTGTCCTCTTTGGGCTTTCCCTTTCAGGCTTCCCCTCAAAGCTTTAAAACGCGTCTGCTGGGGGAAGGTTTCTACACCCTTATAAATGGTGGTTTGTTCTCCTCCCCAACCAATGTGGAACATCATAGATGCACAGTTAAGACGAGTCGTCTTGTGAGACGACAAATAGGATCGAAGAAAGTAATGATGATATTAGATGCATACATTTGTTTTTCTTGGAAAAAGTCCCTCCAACGTGCTTGCTTTTAATCGATGCTACAACCTGAAACCACGTAGTTGATATGTTCATAACAACAATTTGGATCATAATTCTACTTTTTATTACGCAGTTTCTCAGCACCTGAGATTTCTTGTTGATGTAGACAGATACTTCCTTCCATCGCAGGGTTCCTGTTAGTACAACGAGAAGTGATTCAGAATGAGCAGCTCAACCAGTGACATATCATTAAAGTTCTGTTATCATCAAGAGTGATTGATGTTTAAATAAATCAGCTAAGAAGAACAGACACTTTAGTTTGGCTAGCATGTTTATGTTCGACGCGTGTCGGACATTTGGACGCTCCGACACTTATTAGACATGTGTTAGAGACTTGTTAATGCAATATATCCATCTTCGAGTAAGAATGTAAGAAAAATTGAAGTTTGTGAAGAAAACAAGCTGTACCTTTCCGTGTAAACTGCAGCAATTCACCCACACAGGGAAGCTCCTGCTCCTCCATATGGCTACTAAAAGCGGTAGCCCAATGATTCTGAGCCATTATCCTATCATAAGGACTCACAGAAGCTATTTTTCGGCCTTCCTTCAGTAATCTGGATCTGAAAGCGGCTTCTCCTCGCAAAGCTGGATTAGTAGTAAAAAAACAATACAGCATTAACTAAGATCCAGATATGCTTTCTTCCATGAGCTTAAACGGCGTCGAGGATTGTTTGGAGGGAGTCCTACATTGGCTAATTTAGGGAATGATCATGGGTTTAATAAGGAATACATCTTCATTGGTATGAGACCTTATGGGGAAGCCCAAAGCAAAGCCATGAGAGCTTATGCTCAAAGTGAGCAATATCATACCATTATGGAGAGTCGTAGTTCCTAATATGGTATCAAGTCATGCCCTTAACCTAGCCATGTCAATAGAATCTTCAAATGTCGAACAAAGAAGTTTTGAGCCTTGAAGGTGCAGTCAAAAGTGACTCAAGAGTCGAACAAATAGTGTACTTTGTCTGAGAGTTCTAAAGAAGGAGTTGAGCCTCGATTAAGGGGAGGTTATTTGAGGGCTCCATAGGCCTCAGGGGAGGCTCTATAGTGTACTTTGTTCGAGAGGAGGATTGTTGGGAGAGAGTCCCACGTTGGCTAATTTAGGGAACGATCATGGGTTTATAAGTAAGGAATACATCTCCATTGGTATGAGGCCTTTTGGGGAAGCCCAAAGCAAAGCCACGAGAGTTTATGCTCAAAGTGAACAATATCGTATCATTGTGAAGAGTCGTGGTTCCTAATATGGTATCAGAGTCATGTCCTTAACTTAGCCAAGTCAATAGAATCCTCAAATGTCGAACAAAGAAGTTGTGAGTATCGAAGGCGTAGTCAAAAGTGGCTCAAGTGTCGAACAAAGGGTGTACTTTGTTCGAGAACTCTAGAGAAGGAGTCGAGCCTCGACTAAGGAGAGACTGTTCGAGGGCTCTGTAGGCCTCGAGGGAGATTTCTTTGCTCAAAGTGGACAATATCATACCGTTGCGAAGAGTTGTGTTTCCTAACTAACAAACTGATATTGAGAAGCAAAAAAGGATAGAACAAGTGCCTGTGGCAGCCGCAGCTGTTAAGGTCATGAGGTCGCCAGGGCTCTCGACATCAACTGCTGAGCTGATAACCGAACTGACCTGCTCATGGTCAGCGCCAGAGAATTCAGCCATCTCTATGCAATGTGATGCCAAAATCTCAGTAGCTGAGGCCAGAGCCATGCCCATTTTGGAATCAGACTTCTCTGCTGCGGCCACGGCAGCCAAGGCGGCAGCAAGTGCTGTCACAGATAAAGCAGAATGAACTCTAGCATTTTCAATTCTTGCCCTGTCCTTCTTTTTGACAATACTATTACCAGCCTCTTTGTGAGGAAAGTTAAACCATTTTCCAAATGATCCTACCCTCCAAGCACTCACAATCTTTCCTGGCTGTAAAAAGAAATAGAACAAACACTCAGCACAACACAACACCAGAGCTGAAAAACACTTAACTTGTCATGAATATGCTGTCATCTTTGGGCCTTTCCTTTCGGGCTTCTCCTCAAGATTTTTAAAATGCGTCTGTAGGGAGAGGTTTCCATAATCTTCTAAATAATGTTTTGTTCTCCTCCCCAATCGATGTGGGATCTCACAATCCACCCCTTTCAGGGCCCAGCGTCCTCGCTGGCACTCTTTCTCCTCCCCAACCGATATGGAAACCTTGAGATCCCACCTCTATAAGGGAGGAGAACGACGAACGAAGCCTTCTTTATAAGGATGTGGATACCTCTCCCTAGCAGATGCGTTTTAAAATCCTTGAGGGAAGCTCGAAAGGGAAAGCACAAAGAGGACAATATTTGCTACCGTTGGGCCGTTGCAAAAGCTTACGAGTGGTGGGGCAACAATAGCCTCGGGAACTGTGATGCGGCTCCTTTCAATGTGAAGTGGCTTCTGCTTTTGAGCAAGGGCTTTTGTAATCTCAGAAGCCGAGAGACTCCAAGTCCTTGCCAAGAACTCCATAGGCTCTCGTGGAGTTCGAGGCTGAGGAATTGAAGGCAAAGAAGACACCATTTTTAGCTCCTCATCTTCCTCCATACTCTTTAGCCCATAGATGTAACCCTTTTCCATTTTCCCTCCCCAAAAAAACCCAAATACTTTCCACAAGAGTACAATCAAACAGCCGTGTTTTTCAAAACAAAAAACGTCTTTTCCAAGAACAATTCCCTCAGCGGCATTTTCACAAACACCTTAAATACCCAGAAACATACAGACAAAACGAGATTCAAGTTCACATTCCAAAGGCCTCGTGCTTTGAACTACCACAAAATCAGATTGGGTTTCAACCAAAAAGCAATCAGAAACAGAGAAACGGATAGAAATTCACGAAGCTCGAAATGGAGAAAATATTAATTTAAAAAACACCATGCATTAGCGTCGTCCTGAATCGACGGAAGCTGCTTCTCAACACTCGGGCAAGCCGGTGACCCTTCCATTTCAAAATTGGGAACAGACCCAGATGATTCATGAATGAAACATTTCGCCTTGTATTTGTATTGAGGAACAAAGTTTAGGCGCCTTCACTGTTCTCTCTCAACTCTCAAAAAAATCTAAAATATCCTTAAATGTTCAAAACTATGATTGAATTGGTATGAAAAATATATTTTTTGATTTAATTCTTTATTTAAAAAAACACCTATAAAATTTTAAAAATAATATGAAAATTTTTACTTTTATAAATAAAAATTTAAGCATTTTTTTATAAAATTTTATTGATCTTTTAAAAGAAATAATGTATAAATTTAATAATCGAAGATTTTCAAGAACGTGTTGAGCCACTTGCACATTCATAGTTATCGAGCTACTCAGCAGAAAAAGAAAAAAATTATTATTTTAACATTACAGTGTGGGAGATCGAACCATCGACTTTTGAAATAATAATTATTTTATATTTTATCTACTTTTGTTTTATTTTAAATTTTTTAAAAAAATATGCATTATTTATTTTTCTTGTCATATGTTAATAAGTTAAAAAGTTTAGATATTTATATAAGATATTTTAAATATATAGATTTATAACATAACCACAACAAATAAATAAAAAAGGGATTTAATAAATGAAAAAATGGTCACTTTTTTTTTTTTATCATTTTTCAATATAGAAAATAAAAATAAAAAATGAAGACAAACGGTTGTGCCACCGTTGTGGAGCTCAGAAAAAAGCGCTAGAAAGTGAGCTGTCGGTAAAATTACAGAAATCCATGCAATGACGGTGACCGGTTTGGACGGTGACCTTCCATTGCGCCCTTTTATTGTTTCTTCCTTTTACGTATTTTCCTTATGATTTATTCATTAAAGAATAAATATATTGCTTATTCTCTATGGATTCTTATTCTTCCAATTTTATCCCTTTAGATATTACATATGAAACTACCAGATATTTTGTATCGAAAATCAATTGAAATATTAAAATATTCAAGCTAAATTAAAATAAAATCCATAAATTTTTTAATTTATTTAAAAACATACCTCACTATTAATTATATTTGAATCAGTTTCATAAACATTTTAAGATTACCTGATTTTAAGTGGTCACAATTATGATTTATTACAAGATAATTCTATTTTAAAAATAGTTTTAAAGTATTTATAAAAAAAATTAATTATTAATGTAATACGTAGGGTAGTTAATATAATTTTTTTAAAATAATTAAAAAATAACTACTCAACAACCCTATCGAGCTCATCCCAAAAAGAGAGGGTTGGATTGTAAACTTTGTTTTGGTTGCTCGGGTCACCAACCTAATCGACCTAACATTTCGAGTTTATCTAAAATATTTTTTCAATTCAACCTTATTCATACACCACCATTATTATTATTATTATTATTATTATTATTATTGAAATCGAAAGATTGTCGGAGAATAGATATTTAGGAAGAAAGGCGAGGGGGGCTCAAAGACAAGGGAAGGGGTTAAAATGGGAAATAAATACAACGAACTAATGGAATCATAGGAAGCGGACAAGAATGTAGCTACCTAATCTTGGTGGAACATATAAAATGCCGACAACGACTCTCACACTATCTTGCTAATGTTTTAATTAGTTGGGTTATGCTTGTATTTTAAAAATGATTGAAAAAATGTGATTTAGTAGTACTTTGACATAAACTCGTGAATCTCACACTTGTCAATATGCTCGGGTTAACGAGATCGATTAATTGTTTCATTAAAAATTGTGTGTTTTGAGTGTTTAAAATAAGATTGTAAGGTGATAAATATTTACCGAGGAAAATATGGTCTCCACATAATTCTCAAGTGAGATATTGAAGGCTCGAAAAGAAAATGCAATATTAACCCGTGACAAAATTAACCATTATCTCTAAGTGTAAAAGCTAACGTTGGTGTGATTTTGCATTTTGCTAAGCATAATTACGACCGTTTTTCTACTTTAAAACCCATAAGAAAAATAATTGATATTTAAGTTTAGTTGAAAATTATTTTTTGTTTTTTATTTAGAAAAATTAAGATTATATGACACTACTTTCATATTCCCATCTTTTTTATTACCTTTTTTTTTTTTTTTTATCATTTTCAAAATTTAAAGACTAATTTGAAAACCATAGTTTTAATTTTTAAAATTGGATTAAAAATTGAAGTGTATGTATATATGTGTGTGTGTATATATATATATATATATATATATATGTATGTATGTATGTATGTATAATTTTAAAAAAAAAATGAAAAAGAAAATTATTATCAATTTATCGTATGTTGGTAGTTGATATATACATATAATAAAAATTATATTATTTTCTATTGAATAAAAATCGCTAAATTAATGAAAATATACTTTATTTAAAAAAATATTCCTAATCTTCTAAAAGTTTTAATAATACTCTTAAACTTTAAAATATAATTAATCTAACTTTTAAATGAGTTTTAAAAAAATACTTTTTAATTTTTAATTTTATTTAAAAAATACCCTAAAATTTTGGCAAGCTAAACTAAAAAAAAAAACTTAAAAAATATCTTTAAATTTTTTAAAAAAATTTTAAAAATATCTTATATCAAAACTTTAAAAATATCTTAAGAGAGTTTTTGAAATATTTCTAAAAGTACTCACCGTTTCCATCCAAAACTCACTATGGTATTTTGAGATTTTTTTTTTAAAAAAAAAAGTGAAAATGTAATATTAAAACTTTTAAAAATTAAGAGTATTTCTGTCGGACAAAAGACAAAATACAAAATTTAAGAGTATTTTTATTAATTTAGCGTAAGATTTAAGAAAAAAAAAAATACAAGTTCATTCAATGCAATAATCAATTATCCTTTTGGAAAATATGAAAATTTGGGGACGAAAATTATGGTCAAAATTATTTTCCGAAATAGCATTGATGAAATAGATGAAAATATAAATAAATATCAACTAAAATAATTAAAAGTGTGGAACCCACTTAATAAAGAAATATATATTTATTGGTTACGTGGCTAGAGATTTGAACTCTACTAACTAAGTTAAACCGACATACAACAGATACAGCCATGCACTCTACCACTGAGCTTACCGAGTGACCCAATTAGTGTTTCTTCGTTAGTGTTCAACCACCATGGGAGTGACCCAATTAGTGCTTACCGAGTGACCCAATTAGTGTTAGTAACTCTTCACCATAGGATTCGAACCCATGACCACAAGGTTAAGAGCCTTGCGCTCTACCAACTGAGCTAGACGGGCATACACAATAGGTACAACCCTTTGACATCTTGTCGAGTGACCCAATTAGTGTTTATTTGTATCTCTTCACTAATAAACAATCATTTAACGTCTTGATCGAGTAACCTAATTAGTAGAAAGAGAAAAGAGCAAATCGCCCACCATCCTAAAACTCATAGTTTGTAAACAAAGACATATTCTATTTTCAATAAAGTTATTATTGATGTTTATTCAGTAAAGATTGTTATTGAATAAAGTGAACTTTACAATCATTAATCTAAATCCAATAAACTAAGAACACTCTGGCTATAGTATGATTACTTGAACTATATGTAGAGACATAAAAGTGGATCAAGTCCAAGTATAAAGTCAAAATGATCTATAGTATAAGGATAAGGCTGAGTACCTTATTCTGGGGATACTATGGATGCGGCCCACTTTTGTATATGATATAAACAATGTGATCACTAAATTGTACATGTGGAGACATGTGAGTGGGGACGTCCTATGCAATGAGTATTTCATAAGATCGGACCATGAAGAAAATCACTCTCACATTATAATGTCGTTTACTGTTGAGACTGATTTTCTTTTCATTCGATGACCTAGGTAACTCGATCTTAATCTAACCATGAACTCCTATTCATTCGGAATTATCCTTAGATTTGCATGGGCGAGAGTGGCTCGAGTTCGCCGACTCAATAGGCCTCCCATTTTAGGGGTAAGACTGGGTGAATAGCTAGGGACGTGGGGTGCAAGATGGAATTCGCTCCTACCCACTTTTAAGAGAGGTAGTTCCCTTAAGTACTGACTCCAAGTCTTGAACAAGGGGCCCCACCCACTCATTGCCCTGAGAGGGATTCGGTTTACTGGTTGGACCACAAACCAATTGTTTATGAGAGGATCAGTGGGACATAAGGAACAAGAAGTAACTTCAGGGGTAAAACGGCTAATTGACCCAGCTCTAGTAACGAACAACCTGTGAAGGATCGACTTACTAATCATGGTTATATCAAATGGACAGAAATATATCTATAGTGAGGGAAGTGCAACTACTAGGCTATAGTGGAGTGTCCTAATAGTTAACGAATGTTGGTTAATAAGGTTAATGAGTTTAACCGGTTAATCTTGGATCGTTGGAGCCCATGATTTATAGGTCCATTAGGTCCCTCTGTTAGCTCATATCGGGCTAAACCATAGAACAGTGTGACGAGTGAGTTCGAAGCCTTTGAATTCAAATTAGGGAATATGCGCTACATATATACGATATATTTAACCGCATTTTTGTTTTATTTACGAATTAAACAAAAAGAGAGAATCTAAGATATTTAAATCAGATTTAGATATCTTAATCAATTATGTGTCGGAATTGATTGGGATTGACATTTGAATTAATATTAAATATTAATTAAATAGTTTAATTAATCATTTAATGTTACTTTAATTTGAAATTCATTATTCAAATTAATTGTTGAATTAAAACGAAGAAAGTCAAAATGTTGACTTTCATCTAATGAAAAAATTATGTTAGTGGAATTTTGAGATGTCAAAGTTTAGTCACTCACCGAATTCCACAATCCCGTTCTAAGGCCGGAGGATAGTGGAGAAGACACTAGTGGTGGTTCGAAACCGGTTCGTGAGGAAAAAGAAGTTTGAACTACAAAAAGGTTAGTATTAACCTTGCACTCTAGACGGGCATAGACAATAGATACAACCCTTTGACATCTTGTTGAGTGTTTATTCATTACAATCATTTTTGATGTCTTGATCTTAGGAACTCATCTCTATTAGAAACAATTAGAACAAATTGCCCACCATGGGGCTCGAACCCATGACCACAAGGTTAAGAGCCTTGCGCTCTACCGATTGAGCTAGACGGGCCTACACAATAAGTACAACCCTTTGACATCTTGTCGAGTGACCTGATGTCTTGATCGAGTGACCAATTAGTAATTGCCCACCATGGGGCTCGAACCCATGACCACAAGGTTAAGAGCCTTGCGCTCTACCGATTGAGCTAGACGGGCCTACACAATAAGTACAACCCTTTGACATCTTGTCGAGTGACCTGATGTCTTGATCGAGTGACCAATTAGTAACTCTTCTCTATTAAAAAACATTTAGAGAAAATCGCCCATTGACGCGCCTACAAAGTACAACCCTTTCACATAGTGTTGAGTGACCCATCTCTATTAAAAACAATAAGAGCAAATCGCCAACCATGGGGCTTGAACCCATGACCACAAGGTTAAGAGCCTTGCACTCTACCAACTAAGCTAGACGAGCCTACATAATAGGTACAACCCTTTGACATCTTGTCGAGTGACCACTAATAAACAATCATTTGATGTCTTGATTGAGTGACCTAATTAGTAACTCTTCTCTATTAAAAACAATTAGAACAAATCGCCCACCATGGGGCTCGAGAACCCATGACCACAAGGTTAAGAGCCTTTCGCTCTACCAACTGAGCTAAACGGGCCTAAACAATAGGCAACAACCCTTTGACATCTTGTCGAGTGACCCAATTAGTGTTTCTTCGCTAGTGTCTCTTCTCTATTAAAAAAAAAATTAGAACAAATCTCCGACCATGGGGCTCAAACCCATGACTACAAGGTTAAGAGCCTTTCTCTCCGATAGGTACAACCCTTTGATAACTTATGGAGTCAACCAATTAGTGTCTCTTCTCTATTAAAAAAAATTAAAGCAAATCTCCTGCCATGGGGTTGGTAGGCTCAAACCCATGGCGGGCATAAACAACCATTTATTGTCTTGATCGAGTGACCTAATATTAAATGAAATTAGAGTAAATCGCCCGCCATGGGGCTCAAATCCATGATCACAAGGTTAAGAGCTTTGCTCTCTACCAACTGAGCTAAACGGGCCTACACAACAAATACAACTCTTTGAGTGACCCAATTAGTGTTTCATCGACCAATGAGCTAGATGGGCCTACCCAACAAACACAACCATTTGATGTCTTAAGCACTCTACCAATTGAGCTAGACGGGCCTACTTGACCAAGTGACTCAATTAGTGTCCACAAAGTTGAGCATCTTGCGCTCTACCAACTGAGTTAGACGTGCCTACTTGACCAAGTTTCTCAATTAGTGTCCACAAGGTTAAGAGCCTTGTTTATTTGAACCAAGAGACATCAATCATACACTATACTTCAATGAAAATGTCAAGAAAATGTTGTTGAAATTATCAAAAGATATTTCAATTCATGTCAAATTGAGGAAAAATGAAGCTTCATTTTATAAATTTTGGGTTGATTACAATTTAGAAGTTACATTTACACAATGGTTAATTATAGTCATAAAGTATACAAAGAGGTTAATTATAGTCATAAAGTATGAATGCTACAAACAGTTGAAATTTCTAGTGCAAGGTTAAGAGTTTCATTTTGATCCTAAAGCCATATACGTTGTATTTGTAGGAGACTTGGAAAATGTAGTTGTAGGAGACTTGGAAAATGTAGTAAAAAAAACATGTGCTTTCTTTTAGCCTATGACTAAGTATTTTGAAAAATGTAGTAAAAAAAACATGTGCTTTCTTTTAGCCTATGACTAAGTTTCTTTGCAATTATATGTAGCTTAGGTTGCACGTAGAATCATCAATTTTGTGAGTGATTCGAATCTCACTCCCCTTGTAGTGATTCCATATCATTTGGAATCAACAAAGTAATCTGAATCTTACTCTCCTTGTAGTGATTCCATATCATTTGGTATCAAAGCTTTTCCCTTGGATTGATTCCATATCACTTACGCTCCACCAACTGAGCTAGACAGGCCTACACAACAAATACAACCCTTTCATGTCTTCATCGAGGGACCCAATTAGTGTCTCTTCTCCGATAAAAAGATTTAGAGCAAACCACCCATTGTGGGGCTCAAACCCACAACCACACAAGGTTAAGAGCCTTGCACTTTACCAACTAAGCTAGACAGGCTTACACAACAAATAACCCTTTGATATCTTGATTGAGTGACCTAATTAGTCTCTTCTCCGATAAAAAGATTTAAAGCAAATCATCCACCCTGGGGCTTGAACCCACAGCCACAAAGGTAAAAGCCTTGCTCTCTACAAACTGAGCTAGATGGGCCTACAAAATAAATACAACCCTTTGATGTATTGATCGAGTGACCTATTAGTGTTTCTTCTCCGATAAAAAGATTTAGAGCTGCCAACAATTTAAAGAATAAAAATAAAAAATTACCCATAATAGGGCTCGATCTATGAGCACAAGGTTAAACTGAGCTATAGACAAGTGTACATAATAAATACAACCTTTGGGTCTCTTGATCAGGTAACTTAATCAGAAAAAATAAAGTTTAACCTATGAAGGTTCAGAGAACAAATAAATACCGACCTCAAAATTCTTGGACTAAATTTGTAATTTAACCAAAACGGTCTCTAACGACTTGCCATTGACCGAGCACAGACAGTAAGAGAAGTTTCAGATCAAGAACAAAAGGACAGCATATTTAGAACTCTTTTCCATAATTTGATGCATTCTTCCTCGAATCCTGGGCAGCATATTTAAAGAATAAGAACACAGTATCAGATCAAGAACAAAATGGTTCACATAATTGGAGCTTATTTCAAAAGCATTTATATAAATGTTTCACATAAAAGCATCACAAATAACCTTAACCATGTGACAATGATAAATTATTATATCTCAATGATCAATGATATATAATAGGTATAGCAAACTGGTCCCAAGTACTTTAAAATGATCTTATCTAGGCACTCCGACCAATTTATACACACCTTGACTAACTTTATATCTACCAAGACATTCATATGTGTCACAGTCGCTCTTAAATTCACTTACCAAGCTGGAGATTGGGGCCACCCTGCAAGATTGGCTCCACCAACCTATGATTTCTTCCATTGATTTTGCAGGCACCAGATAGTAACCTCCTAATTCTCCAGAGTAGCGAACCTCTAATTACTCAGCACAACTAAGTGTTCGTTTGGGAATGCCTGTTGGGAAAAAGAAAAGTTCTTAACTG